TATATTTAAAGACATTTTACTTTGAAATTGAAACTTTGAAGCCGATATCTAGCTTTTTTGACATAGTGTAGTTGTTTTTAACCGTATGATATATTGATTCTCTAAACTTATATAAGAATTTATACATAAATAATGTGTTTTTCTACAAATAATATTCAAACCAAATTAAATGGAAAATATTAATTCAATTAGAACATTTTATCCGCTTCTGAACGTTATTTTAACATTCGCTCTAACGGACAAGAGGTCTCAGCCTGCACAGTTATTTCTTTGGTCAAACTCTATACGCCATTTTTAAATATTCTGCCTACAGAATATAACTAATTCCAATTTCAAAAAATAAAACTAACGTAGATGTCTATAGGGAATATAAAACTTATTGTTATAAAATAACGAACTGTTGTTGTTTCTTGTATATATTTATAAATAATCTGTAGTAGCGATATGATGTGGAAATATTATTATAATTACTACATAAATTTTAATTCGTAAAGATAATATTTGTAGTGTAATGCGTCGATTTAATTATGTAGGTTTAAGTTGCATAACAAGCAGTATGTGTCCCAAATACATTAGAGTAAATGTGAAACATGGCAATGTACCTAATGATTTTTGGTGGGAAAAAGTGTGTCAAGTCTATGGTAGGTGTAAAATAACGTTTCTGTACTGCACTGCAATTAATCACTCCATTTAATGTTATAGATACAGAATACAGATATATTCTGTTGACAGTTACTATTAGCAGGTATCGTTCTGGTTCGTTATAGTCAGGTATATATTAGTGGATAATTATATATATATATATATACAGGATTATTTGTAGAATAGATATATGGGTTGCCATATATCTATTCTACAAATAATCCTGTATCGTATGACATCTCTGGTTTTTCAAACATATGTAGGTTACTATGACTATTTACCATTAGATGGACTGTATATTTGATTATCACTGTTGTGTTATAAAAAGACGATATAAAAATGGACATTCGAAATATTGAGCTTTTGACACAAATTGATCACATGAACGATCAGGTAAAAATTGATTAGTTAATTTTCAATACATTTATCCAAAAACTGTTTTTTTTTTTTTTTGACAATTCACACAGCGCCATCTAGTCCCAAGTTAAGCTAGCTAAAGCTTGTGTTATGGGTACTAGATAACTGATACAAATACATAGATATATACATTTTTCGTAAATACATACATATTATACATTGAAAATACCCAGACCGATACAAACAATCATACTCGTGAATACAAATGTTTGTGCCGTGCGAGGAATCGAACCCGCGACCATTGGATATAAAGCGGTGTGCTGGACCGCTATACCACCAAGGTCGTCGATATTTTCAATTTTACTTTAGTTATTGTTATTAGACTGGTATCGAATTTTTTTTTATTATGACGTTGGCAAATGTATGTTTGCATACGGTCCGTCTGTACGGTACGGTAACGGTTACCGTATATATGGACGTTTGAAACACCAGGGGTATCACGTGTTCTTAAGGTTCGGTCCTTTAAGAAACTTTATATAAACTTCTTGACCATGCTGTAGTCTCTTGAGCAAACCTCGGCTGATAGTTCATTCTATATATTCACACAATCTATGTGTACGAGGGAGGAAGTTTCTCTGAAACCGCACTGTAGGAGATCACTTAGTTCCAACATGTGTGATCGATGTTTACTAGCTGAAGATTTATTTACTAAGTAAGGGTATTATGTGAGTTAGGGTATCAAGATGGATGATGAGTTTTCGACAGTAGGATACTTTTTCCTCCTTTAGTTTTGGGACCAAATCATTACATGGACTGAGAAATAGCTTATTTATTATTTTTCCATCATATGAAGCTAATACTAGAATATAGGTAAATATAAATTTATATTTATGACTTAAGATCTTCCTCATTTCAATTACATTTAACATCGTTTTTTTAAATGTATATTTGATTTTGACTTAAATGTACTTATTTCAGGAATTACCATTTCATTTTATACATTTTTGCTATTCGATTCATTGTGAAATTTGAATTGAAAAATGCCTATTCTAGAAATTCTGGATATATTTTTTGCCATTCGATTAAATCTAGAAGCTATTACCTACTTTTATATTTTGTAATCATACGTGGAAATAAAATTTAATAACATTTTATATCAACGATATGTAAATAATTTTACACAAATAGCTCCAGGCTAATTAAAATGTGAAACATGATAACATCGTTATGGTCGCAATTATTTAGGCATGACATTATTATCACTTTATCACTAGTGTTAAAAATAGATTTATCATATTTATTAGCTAACACTGGTGGTATTAAAAACAAAAAATACTTTTTAAACAATAGGCATTAAAATATATATATATATCTATATAAATATATCGTGTTCGTTATTACTATTATAATTATGGACTAAGATAAAATTATCTCACATGGTCTATTTTGTATCGAGTTACATTCAAAACCATTTCATATTTTGGTTTTTTTTCTTTAAGTAAGTCAAATTTACAGATTTTTATAAAGTTTTTAACCTCTATAATAATTTAAATAATATTATTATATGTTAATTGTAAATAATATTTGACTTTTACATATATACCATATCCTCAAATAGTTATATCTAAATTAAATATTATATTAGCCACGATAAGTTTAGTTATGTCCACTAAATAATAAATATAATGAGACGCAGTTAATATTTGTATGAATGAAATGTAAATAAATATTTATCTAAACTAACATTATAAAGAGAAAACAAATTGATGTTTGTTTATAAGGGATATACTCAACAAATACCATACGTACGATTTCTAAAACATTTTCAGATATAATAAACTACTTCATCAGCAAGGGACATGCCCTCTATTTTATTTTTAAATAAAAAAGAATAATATATTCCTGCTGAATTTGAACGCTGTGTTGTCAGTTAAATATTAAGATAGGTTTGGTAAACTGTGGTATAAAAATTGTGGTGTGTAGCCAGTTCACTAACTAAAAACAACAAACAGAAAATATCGAAAATAATCTTTGGATAATAATTCAGTACTGACTAATTAGTAAATTCATATTATATTTTAAAGTGTTTTCCATGAAGTATTACTTTTGTACTCTTTAAATTTACGCTAGTTTGTAACAGTGCTATTCTATGCATGTAGAGCACAATAGAGCGCTGACTTGCAAATTTGTTAGATCAGTGCTCATCCTTGAGTTAACTTGATTCGATCAATCTATCGCATACAAAATTTTATGGTACGTAGACTTAGATTAGAGCAGCTCCTCAAACTATCGTAATGAAGTTCTGATGAAAATGGAATTTATTTATTTCAAAAATATTTCTTTATCACATAATCAATCATTTTGAGTGCCATTTCGTTTTTTAAATAAAGACTATAAATATTGTTATGGATATGGAAGAGCGAGCTGAGTTTCTTATCAGTTCTTCTCAATCTCAAAATCATTCCGAAGTGACAGTAGATTTTACATATCATAAGATTCTGTAATAGACCTACATGAATAAAGATATTTTAAATTTTGAAATTTTGATAGTCATCACATTGAATTTCATCCGGTGCCTATTTATTATCTATCATTGTATTCTATCAGCATATACCTATCAGTACCAGGAGGGGTCATCATAATTGAAAAATAATCTAATAATACTTCTCTTCTTATTCGATATGCCCTTGACACAAAGGTCGTGGTCATTATGAAGTGGAGTAATAGGCAGATGTCATCCGCCTTACGACAACTCGCCATTTCTCCCAACTGGCTGCCATTCTGGTACATTTGTGGAGTGGACCTTCATAATAACAACTGCAAAAATTATCCTACAATTTCGTAAATTTTTCATTTGGCGTTATTTGCCAACAGCAAAGATTATAATGATATAAATAAATTCATGCGCTTAATAATAATATCGCGTGTACGTTTCACTATTAATTTTTCAAAGTATCGGTCATTGTACTTTCGTCACCTTGGGACCGGTTTCTTCACCCACTGGTACACTTAATGTTACATAAACTGGTATTTGAGTAGGTAGATATAGAAAATACAATGTAATAAAATTGGTCACATGAAATATATAGTCATATGAAAGAATGCAAATGTGCTCCAATAACCTAAATAAAATTAATAAAATCTTTTTTTTATTCTTATAAACTTATTTATGAGTTAAAATTTTCATGGAGAATTATACCTACCATGTGATAACCACTCTACTCATAACCGCTGTGCTATGTGTACTATACTTTCCAGCGAGATATAACAGCAATTTCAACGTTTTCTTCTTCTCTTACCATATTTTCCTACAGGCACTAGAACACATTTCTTATGAGATGAGGAGATTATTAGCATTGAGCTCTCTTGTTTTCCTTGCTAGCAATGTACTAAGTAAGTTTACTTCCACGTGGTCTCCTTTGGAAACCGTTTAAGTTAATTTCTAATGAATTCGCCATGATGAGGTAGCTAACTTGATTACTCTCTAATCTGACCATTCTTTATTGGCACTCCAAAAGTGCATACGGTCAGCGAAGTCGTGCGTATAATTATACATACATTAATAAAAAAACGCGGTTCTCGTGGTCTTACTAAACATAACTGTTTTTCAAAATCTCCTGTCATTTCGTTTATTTACTTATTTTTTGAAACTTTTTTGGATGTTTGATGAATCTTTAACATACGCTTGTAACAAGTCATATAGAGGCATGACACATTGAAATTTAGTCGGTCAGCTAGTTTCCCATTGTCTGTCATATAAAAATGACATAATCTTAATACTGCAAACTTTTTGACGATAGGTCAACTTATCGTGAAGAATTTATCTTTAAATTAGTTATCATTTCCTGGTTGTTATGACTTATAATCTTATGAGTTATCAACTTATTAAAGATTATTCACTCTGATAACTTGACCAAATAGCCAATTGCTGATCGATAAATGGTCTTTAAAAAAGCAATCAAAAGTAAACGTATTTAAAATAAAATTTTCTTAATTTCCAGCGGAATACATCTTACCATGCAGTCGGAGTGACCCTCAGTTGGATGCCTGTATCAAGAATTCATTCAACCACCTGCGGCCGTATCTCGCCCGAGGCCTACCTGACATTGGAGTTCCTAAAGTAGAGCCTTTAATAATCGATCGACTGGTCATGGAGAACGACGTCGGACCTGTCAGGGTTACAGCAGCATTTACCAACATTACGGTGAAAGGACCCAGTAACTACACTATCTCTAAGATTAGGTAAGGCCATTTACATGTCTACTTTTGTCATATCCCCCCACCCTATATATATAAACAGAACGTTGTGGAATCATCTTCTATCAGGTATTTCTAAACCGATTCCATATTCCTTAAACCTTCAAGGTAAAAAAGAGCTTATTCCTTCTCAAAATGTCGTCAACGTAATTGGAATTCTCTTGGTGTTGCTCATGGACGGCGGTAATCTCTTATCAGCAGGCGAACAGCAAGCTCGTCTGTGTGATTACCATAGTATAACTCATTGCCATTTATAGAAACAAGTTGCTATTCCAGAGAACTAACATGCCAGGCCTCCACATTCTATAATTTCACTGCTCTACCCACTGCCTATCCTCTTAAATGAATTACGAGTATCGTACATAGTATAAAACAAAGTCGCTGTCGCTATCTGCCCTTATGTATGTTTATATCTTTAAAACTATGCAAAGGATTTTGATTGGGTTTTTTTAATAGATAGAGTGATTCAAGAGGAAGGTTTATATATACATATAATACATGGGTGCGAAGCCGGGCCGAATAGCTAGTATCTTACAAAGCAAGCTGCTTAGCACCTGACATAATAAATGATACAGAGGCATCCACATACCATAGATGACTTTGTTCAAAGTCTACATAATTGATATGGCTATATGTCACTTGAAGAGATCCTCAGTCACTCATCTCAGTGAATAATTTATTATCTTGTACTATAACAATGTAAATGAAAGTTAAATAAATACAGAAAACATTGTAATGTTGCAATATTGTTTTACCTGCCATTTCGCAGTAAAAAGTGAGTGTAAGGATGTCGAAATAGACCAATCTACCGTTACCATCTGTTGGCTGCGAAGTGGCTTATGTAAGGATGGATAATGGTGAAACAATGTACATAATATAATTATGTTAGAGTTTTTGAAAATACTTTTTTATTATACATTGTATACCTACTTATGTTTTTGTACTTAGTTTAGTACAAAAACATAAGTTACTTAATTACTCAGTTTCAAATTATTTTGTGTTAGAGTTTTCATAAAATTATTTTGTTCTAATTTTGAATAGAATTCTAAGTACCGAAAAGTGTTATGGAAGTAGACTTTTCAGGCGCCAAGCAGTTTGCTTTAAAAGCTGTATTTCGGTGATATAAGGCGTGAAATTACAGGATAAGCTGCATAACATCTTACTTCTCCAGATTGACAGCGCTTGAGTGGTATCACGGCCGTTATATGATAACGATATTAGTAGTAGTGCTATTTCATGTATATAAGTGACGGTTACCACTTACAGTTGCGCTGTCAGCTTGTTTGCTATTTCAATTACGTAAAAATAATGTAAAAATAAAGAAAAACAATTTCGAAACGCCATTACTAATAAATGAAGGTTCTATAATTTAGACAAATTTAAAAGGAAATGCGAGATATTAAAAACGGCTTCATACATAGACTTGCTATTGCCTGCGATTTTATCCATATGGAATTAAAATATTTTCATTTTAAATGAAAGTAACCTAAGTTACTCCTTATAACATTAACTATCTGCGACTAAAAGACTTGATAGACATTTTTTTTAAATTCATATTTTTTTTTATTATGTAAAATTATATTCCTATGCATATAGTGTAAATAAAGAAATTTTTTTATGCAAGTACCGGATGTACTACATATCCATTTAGAGAAAGGTTATTAATTTGAAATTATAAACAGATACATTCAATTTTATATATTCCTATAGATTTTGTACAGTTTTGAAAACGTTTCCATTTTAGGTCTGATCTCAAGAAGCTGCGTATTGACATGGGAGTGTTACTGCCGCATATCGAGATGACAGGCCGGTACGAGGTGTCCGGTCAAGTTCTGCTCTTCCCAGTCCGATCACAAGGAGACTTCTGGGCTGAGTTCAGTTAGTATACCGTCATCTTAATCATGATCTTTTCACTTGTATTTTATATTGATAATAATAATAATAATGATAAATATATAAATGTAAAAGTGAGTTTGTTTATACGCTCTCAGATCTAAACAGACAGTCATAAATTTACATGTAGGGGGCACTAGCTGTGCCCTCGGTTTCAACTGTACGAATATTTTCGTGTATAATATTACTGTAAAGTCTCATCAAAATCCATTCAGTAGTTTTGGCGTAAAAGAGTAACAAACATCCATCCATATGATTTGTTACTCTTATATTGTTTTGCTGTTAGCCATCCATCCGTCTATTCAAACTTCACTTAATATTAATAAGATTTACGGTCTAGGATATACTGTACTGTTCGTCGGTCTGGCTAAGCTAGTATTTATAAATATTTGGAAAATCCAAGCAAGCATAAGTATTATACGTATATTTATGCTTGCTTGGATTTTCCAAAGTACAAATAAACCTTTAATACAATTCACACTTATAAATACAAATAAAAAATAATTCTCAGCCGTTCTAAAGTATTCCTTCACACAATTACAACCATTCGGAAAGTCACATTAGATGATTTCTTTTATGTAATTGGACGAGTAAACAAAATAAGCTGACGCCTCATCTGATGGTGATCGGTAACCGTTGTCTACATGTATGAAAATCATAGACATGTTATCATGTGATACCCGTGAAACCAGTAAAGCATTACCATTCCAGACGAGAAAGATGTCACGCCTCTTATCTTTGACTTCATGTAATTATAGTTTTAATAATATTTATTGACATAAGTGGAATACTGACATTTATTATTTTATTGTAGTGCCTTTTATGATGTTTCTAATGAAAAGAAATTTAATAGTTAATTTTAAACTTTCGTGTTTAATATACAATATTTAAATTATTAACCGGGTCTTACCACGAATAATTTTATGGCAAATAAAGGTATTTACCTCTCTCGACGTTTCGACTAGGACTAGGACTAGGCACTAGCCATGGTCACGAGCTGACTGGAGTAACAGCGATGTCAATGTAGATAGGTGACAGCAGTTTTTTCTTCATCTACCGTCACTATATTGTTTAACGAAAGTTCGAAAGAAATTTAATGACATATTGTATTAAAATAATTATGATATCAATTTTAATATTTGTGCTGAATGTCGTGTACTTTTATTATACTATAACACTATAAGATCAAAATTACCATGTAGCAAGCAAATAAATAAATAATTATAATTATCATCCTGTAATATTACTTCCTCTGACTGAATCTGTGTCTAACACTCAATAAAGCTTACGAAGCAAGCTGCTTGGTATTATTTATATTGTTAACCGGGCGCTAACGGGATTAGACGGGCGAGGAAGGGCATTGTTAGTAATATAGACTAATAAGCCCACTGCTAGCAATGTATCATGTCAGGTTATCCTCCTCCACTGATGCCCCGCCAGCGTAAACCGTTCAGCGTAGGTGGGAGCATCATTCCATTAATATGCATAAAAAAACCCGGGCCAGAAAACGTCGAGAGAGGTAAATATTTTATTTTCCATAAAATTAACACGAATAATTTTATGGTAAATAAAATATTTACCTCTCGCGACGTTTTCTAAATACCATAATATATATTATGTTATGATCCGGTTAATATTATAAATAATGTGTATTAAACACGAAAGTTTAAAAATAAGCTGCTTGGAGTCTGAATAGTAAGAGATGATATTTATTTATTATCATCAGCATATCATAGCTGGATGTCACCAAATAATGTCGTTCAATTATTTCCAGGGGACGTGGCTGCGATCGGTAGGGTTTTCGGCAAGGAGGTTGAAAGGGATGGAGTCCAGTACATGACGGCCGACAGAATGCTCGTGGACTTCAAATTAAGGACGTCCAGGTTCAGAGTCAGGGACACTGTTAACTTCGGGAGCGTTATTGGTGAGTAATTCAATAATATAATAATAATAGCCCAGGATAATTCACACAACGCTATATAGTCCCTAGCTAAGCAGAGTTTGTGTTATGGGTACTAGACAACAGATAGATATTTACTTAAATATTATTTTTAAAAATGTATACATGATATAAATAGACAACACCCAACCCACCCCAAAAATGTTTTTCTTATCTTTTGTGACATATTTTTTATACACACAACCCTAAATTTTCACCCCATCAATCCATATATTTTAATAGAGATAGTAATTTATATGGCAAAACAACTTTTAACGGAACAGATAGTTGAGAATAAAACACAAGTAGCAACAGCAAGACAGACAGATTAATTATTTATTACATTACTATGACGGTAGTTTCAACTACTACACATGGAAATAGATGGCGTTAGTTTGTTTGTAAAAAAGTAGTAATTTGATAATATGATCTTATTAATATTATAAAAGCGGAATTTTGTGAGTGTGGATGTTTGTTACTCTTTCACGAAAAAACCACTGAACAGATTACTATGAAACTTTACAGTAACATAACAATAATATATCGGAATAACACATAGTATATAATTTAAAATTATATTATATAATTTGGGCGATATATTATAATAAGTGTGATACAGACGAAGTCTCGTGGATCAGTTAGTGTGATATAATTTATGAGACATAGTTTTCTCAAAAAAAAAGAATCGATCTATATCGATAAGTCGATAAGTCGAACGACTTATATATTAGCTACTGAATGAGCCTTTTTTATATTACTTTAGAAGAAAGTGGCATATAAGCAATAGTTGCTTATATGTATTGCCAATTTCCTTACCATTTCTGCAGACTAAAGTGTTTACCCCCTTATCATGTAATAATGAATGTCATCATCTATAATTCCAGGTGAAGCAATGAATCAGTTTTTAAATAACAACGCAGCAGAAATCATTGAGGAGATGAGGCCCGCCGCCTGCGTGTCCATCGCGAAACACGCCAAAGCATTTCTAAATATGGCCTTCTCTAAAGTGCCTATCGACGTTTGGCTGAAACCTTAGATATTTTGATATATTTTACAATGGTGTAAATTTGTTTATATGTAAGAGGCGTGACCTAATTGACTGATTGATCTATGAACGCACAAGTTAAACTGTTAGTTTTAAAAAAACTGCAATATATAACAACATAGATTTCCTCTATGATAAAAGCATTCGCTAAGAAAGAATATTTGGAAATTCATCCCTAAATGGGTGAAACTGTGGTTCAAAAATTGTATGAAATATTGATATTTGTAAAGTACATAAAATGGTAATTAGAAGTTGTTCGACATTTCCACCCCAAAGCAAAAATAGGTCATGAATTACATTAGTAAATCCCTATTTTTTATTAATAAAAACTGAGAAATGCGTATTTCAGTATTTTGCAAACAAATATTTCTTTATGCAAAATTCAAACTACCATCTGGGGTCTGAATTTAGATTAATAAAAATTAAAGATGTATCTGAGGACTTTTTGTGAATTTCATCCCTTAGGCAAGCAAAACAGGTGATGAAAGCTTATTTCATATCATTCAATTTTGAACATTGGAAAAGTAAAAGGACATGGAAATTTTATCTCTAATAGATTTCCATACCGCCTGATACAAACAAACTCTTTGTTACAAAAATATATACGAGCAAAGCCACCGGTGCCAGCAAGATTTTTCTTTCTTATAATTCTAATTCTGGCGTCTTATACTTACTTAAGAATATAGAAATATCGTAAGGAATATTGTATTATAATTAATATACAAATTTTAAGCTTTATTTATTTAAGTAACAACCAAAATTAGTAATCGAGTTATTTGATAAGCGTTAAATTAATTTAAAGTGAACACTATCTAGTTGTAAAATTATGTTATAGGAATGATTGTGATGATGTAGGGTAGTTTTGTAACAAAACCAGATAACATTTATATTGATATAATAAAATTATCACAAATTAATAATGATTTTTATTGCATTGATATTTATTCTAGTACTAGAAAGGATAGTACTACTATTTTATATTATACCGAATTACTTGTATGTATATGGATTTTTAATGTTTTTTTTTAGATGGAATTTAATTTATAAATGTGTGATTTGTAACATACTGCACTTCGATTATAAGTAACAATAGTGTCCAAATTTTTACAAATATCATATTTTAAAATCAGATTAACAGCATTTTATTAGTTCCACAGACTATAAAAATCTGAATTGATTAGACATTGACATTCCAAGGTTTATTTTTTTGGATTTAACAAAAATAACCCATAAATAAATATTTATTTATTACAATCAATATACAATCACAATAATAAATAATAGTCTAATAAATAACTATCTACTTGTTAAAATCGTGTAATCACGATTTAAGTATTATAGCGAGCAGTGATATTTTAAAAAAACCTATAATATACAAAATTATCAGTCAGATAGTATATCCTCAGCGTTCAAGGTACTGAAGGCGTGGTCAGCCAACGGCTTTAAGAAGTCCCGCAGTGCCTCTTCCATGGGACCTTTTAGTTCCTCTGCCAATTTCTCCCAATTTTCGTTCAGGAACATATTCATTGTATTACCTAAAAAGAATATATAGCCAATTCGTTAGTTTTTTATAAGTACGCAATAGTAAACAAGAGCAGAACCATATACAGACAAAAATAAAAAAGGTTCAATTAATAACACTATATGGTATAGTTCGTTTTGGTGTAGTTATAAGAAAGACGTAGAGGCACGAGGGGAGAACAAAAAATAAGAAGCTTACAGTGGTGAGAAAAAAAAGGTATAATTTGTAATATCAGAAAAGGAGGTAAATCTTATATAAGAAGCATGAGGATGATAGTAAGGGAAGAGAATAAGACCATCCAGGTAAGACAAAAATGGATATTTTGATAGGCATAAAAGATAGGAAAAGGTGACTGAAATGTATTGGTTAAAGTGGGAATAAATTCGAGCATTTTCTTCTTACTAAGCATACATCGGTAGCATACTCGTACCTCTTATGCAGCAATTTAGATTTAGAGGTCTAAATTGCTAAGCCACTTTATCAATACAATATATGAATTGAAATAAATAATAAACGTACCCAGTTCTTCATCGCCTCCGAAGAGATTCTCCAGTTTCATTGAAGCATATCCGATATGGAAATTCACGTCCAGATCCTCGCAGCTCAGCGCATCGACGTCGTTGTGCCGAGGCTGTCTTCCAAGGATAATTGTAACTGTAGCATCTATATCACCTGTGACATTATTGTATTTTTTTTAATATATATTTTTTAGACCTACAATGAGAATTACTGGCAGTTTATATATTCGTCTATCTATGTATATTAAAAAGTAAGTGTTCTTTTTAAACACTACTGTCACTGCTCTGCTGTATTAAACGTCTATAAGCATATCTCTTTCATATAATTTATTATTATTACTAAATCGAATAGCAAACAAGCTGACAGTAGAGCTGATGAATATAAATACCATAAGGAACCACAGATAAAAGAATATTACATAGAGAAATTAAAGGTCTAAATTTATAAATATATTTAAAATTATATTCGTAAATAATATAAAGAAAAATATTTAATTTTAAGAATTAAAAAAACAGACTAGATGTACTTAAACTAGATCCTAGTCATTAGAAATCTTGCAGCAGTTAGATAAATTGTTAATATTTTATATTACTCTTAATATATTTACCATATCTAGCAGTGAATTTTCCATCTCCTTTAATGGGTAGCATCAGTAATTGTCCGGAAAGTGCGTAATTTCCTTTCATTCTCAGCTCTGGAATATAAATTTTTCCTACTACCATCTTCTTCTTTGAATATACCCTGGAATAGAAAAGATCTGTGGTACAATCCAGTAATATAACCTACAAATATTATAAAAATAATAACATTGCTAATTTAAATTATTTAAAATTTATGTTCGAGCATACTGAAGAGGAATCAGATATTCGTACTATTTATCATGTCAGCTTTTAGACAAGACGATATACAGATTAAAATAAGTCATAACACTTACATTTTTTTACTGAAATGCACTGAGCATTTATCAAAGTCTATTTACAAATAAATACATTCTTTTATATATTGATATTGTCTAGGTAATTTAGACCTGCTTTGATAATGAGGAGTGTTAATGGAATACTTCGAAATCCACATAAAAACTTAAAACAATAGGGTACAAAATAGCAATCAAAATATTTGATTCACAAAGTGGCACTTTGACTTTTAGTTTTAGGTAGATATGTATTCAATTATAAAGATACAAGTCTATGTTACAGATGCCTCTTTTCCAGATAAAGATATCGTAACTAAACTAAATAGTAAAGTTTACACTTACTTAATATCCTTCACTCTCATAGATGACGGTCCTTTCACGGTAACTTCAGTGTACGATGACGTAACAGAAATAGGACCTGTTGACTGCTGTACTGACAAGGCAGGGATCTCCAGTGGCTCGCATGACGGTACTCCATACTCTGGCACTCCTTTTTGTAAGCAATCATTAAAAATGATTAATAAAACTTTATGAAGATTTTAAAAAGATTCTAAATTTAAATATATTTTTTTCATTATCATAGGGTAAAATATCTTACGGCATAATATTGAAAAAATATGTATTTAAATGTAGAACCTATATATATGTTTAAATAATATACAGCAAGCAGACTTGCGATACTAGGAACAAAATATTGTGTATAACTGTGCTAATGTTCATTATTCAGCAGGGTATATGTGCAATAAAAATTGCAAAATAGCAATTGTTTTGCATCAATGCAAAACGAGTGCTTGCCCTGCTTCATTTTGAAGGGCATATCCGCATGTGTTAGCCCGCTTCACTTAAAATAAAACAAATTGTACACGAAATTTCAGCTATTAGTAAGTTCTTTTCTATTACAGGTTGTTGCAAAGATTCAAATTTGGTTCAATTCTTAAAAAACGAACGAACAGTACGGAGGTACAGGTCCCGTCAGGTTCTATACTTATAGTTTGAAAATGGAATAGTAGAGATGTTATGCAACCAAACCCTATAAATTCACTACTATATCTCCCTTCCTTCAACCAAAATATTGCTTAGAGTATATGGTCTCTATTCTCCGCAATTAGCCTCTCATTTGGGCCATTGTGCGTGTAGAGCCGAGACTACTACAGTGGCCAGCAAGCTCCTCCCAGAAGCGCAAAAGCCTCCTAGTGTTCTCACAGGCTTTGCGGAGCGACCTCACCGTTCCGAGGATTTGTGTTGGTTACGTGGCCACTGCTGTGCACTCCAGGATTACGTGTGCGGCCGTTTCTTCGGCTTCAAAGCAGCCCCAACCAAGAGGACTGTCTGTAGCACCGATTGTGCACAAGTGTTTGTTTAAGGGACAGTGGTCCGTTATTGTCCCTATCATTGAACATAGCTTAGAGATAAGCTGCTTTGTGGCTGGCTAAAAAGGGCGACACAGAGGTATGGTGGGTAGAGGTACTAGCAGATGACTTTGTACAAAGGCATCATTTACATCTGGTAAAGTTTGTTTTAACTTTTAATCAAGGAACCTGTAACATTATGTCCTCAATCTTTTACATGACATACCTGTCGCTAATTGTGGAATGTAAGTATTTAGTGCATCTCTCAAGCAACGTCCCAATGCTTTCTCCTCCCGTGGACAGATGAAACCACCAACTGATGAAAAATACTTTGTATTAGATATACATCTCAAGGCTTAAAATATCAAATAACAATTGACGGTTTCTTATTCAGAGGAGCTCGATACATAATAACTAAAAGTTAAATAATAGACTATTTTCTGATTAATTAAGAGTCTATTATTACTTAATATATATTAAAATTAAAAACTCGTAAATTTGTGACGACGGAAAACATCCATATGTTTTCAAGGAAAAACTACTTCTGGACGGAGTTGAAAGAAAATGATAGAGTGTCCTATGAAATAGACAGCAAGCAGCTGGTACTGAAATAAACATTGAACTGCTAATTTCATGTATTGACGACCTCGGTGGTCCAGCAGTTTAGCACACCGCCTTACTTCCGATGGTCGCGGGTTCAATTCCTAGCACAGAACAAACATTAATGAGTGTATTAATCCGGGTGTTTTCTATGTATAATACACATATGTATGTATTTACGAAAAAAAAATTGTTTTTGTATCAGTTATCTAGTACCCATTACACAAACTTTAGCTAGCTTAACTTGGGTCTAGATGGCGCTGTGTGAATTGTTCCGAGATTATTATTATTATTAAGTCGATATTGACATTATAATAGATTTGATTTATTATCATTCGTTAAATTTTACTTACAATTAATAAAACTCTTCTCGATTCCAACACACGACCTGACCAACACTACTAAACAGATCAGCTTCCACATTATGATGAAATAAATAATGATATGATATAAATTATTCAATCTGTCCATTATATACTAATTAGAACGTGATATATAAAGTTCGAGATTATCTCTCATCTTATTATGAGATTGGACATGCGTCGTCGATCTTGCGAAACTCACCTCAAAACTATCTTCATATTTTTTTCATAATAGTATTATAAAATATATTTTCATTGACGTTTGTTATGTATATTATGTTGACAGCCTTAGTGATCTAACTTTATTGCGTACAGCTTTACTTCCAATGTTCGTAGATTCGATTCCTCGCACGCTGCAAACATGAGTATGATTGTTTGTGTCGGTCTGGCTGTTTTATATTGTATATGTATTTATAAAAAAAATGTATTTAAGTACTAGTATCAGTTCACTAGCATCCAAAAATCCACAAATTCTGCTTGGCTTGAGACTAACTGACGGTGTGTAAATTGTTCTGGGTTATTATTATTATATTGACACCTATTTTAGTAGTTTTTTATTCTTGTAGAACTGTAATTTTCTTTCATCTTGAGTATACATACTGTTTTGAGATCTGTCTCAAGATTTAAAGGTAAATTTTAAGATCAAAGAAGAATATATACAGTATAAAAATCGTATTTCCATCGATTAACCATAAAAATATTTAATAAATTGATTGCATAAATGTTATAAGAAAGTAATATTTCTCAACTATCATATGCAATATATTATCTATCTGTGTTGAAAATAAAACGCTATGCACATAGTAATAAAACACATTTATCATCATCATAGCCACAGGCATATTGATGTAAACAACTTAGACAATAACCATTAAGGTCACTAAATAACATAGACTTGTATGATAATGCAAGCCGCATGCACTTTTTAATGATGTCGTCACAATTGTATAATTTTCAGTCACCGACCTAGAAGTGGCGTCTAATCTATCTTCATTCGAACCGTCATAATCATTAAGTCCAAACTTGAATAGCGATTAAATCAAATCGCATGTTGTAATTCGAGACGTAGCGGTCACAGGCCTACGATTCTATTACGTCACTAATGTAACAGTCGAAAGGTCGCGTTTCCATTGCTTTGTACATTTGCATAAATAATTGATTATAATATTGTCGCGACATGCATACTGGTTATTTGGAAAGAATTAAAGAGAAATTAGATCGCGAATAAATTGAGATTTGATGATCCGATATGGAAGTCCTTGAAGATTTTTTTCGGACTACTTTAATACTGATGGCCGCAGCTTGCCTTTAAATCTTCACCGGACGATAGGAGGTGAGTGCAGATGGCACTCCAAACCCGCAGAAGGGTTTATGGAGCGGCTGAATGCTGACGGATACGACTTTAGTCTGAGGGCATCGCTAGGGGTTCGAATCTTGGCTCTTGGCTCAGGCCGTCGTAATTTTGAACTCCGTTTGAATTGGACGGGGGATCAATCGGAAGGGGGCCTTGAAGTGAAGTCTTGCTTATCCTACCGAAATGAAAGTTAATCGAGCAATTGAATCGTAGAAGCAGACCAGAAACCAGAACTATGTTGTGTTCGTGATTAAGTGAATAAGGCATTACATTTTGGAATAAAATACTCTGCCAAGATATAAATGCTTTTAGAAACTATAGGTAGATAATTTGATAACACATTATATATAACTACCGGCAGGAGAACAACCAGTCTTTGTAAGTGCAATGTAAAATATTCATGTAGAGTTTGTTGCATCATCGGTGTACGATGTATTGATGCGACTCAATCAGTCGCCAGAACATTGTATTATCTATTTATGTATAATTAAAGATTAATATTATAATATACTTCTAGTGTATTTACACTAGAAGTATAGTTGAAGTTAGTTTTTCGCCCCCATAGGCTGCAATATAGAAAAATTCTCTGACTATACCAATCACCACATATTTTTGAGTGATAAAAAATAAAATAAAGATACTGAATAAGAAACACATAGTAAATGTCGATAAATTTAATAACCGTTAAACAAACCAACTTAATTACAATTGCAATAAATTAATGTAATAAATTAGAAATAAATATTATTATTAATTCCGAACAATACATATTTGCCATACTATCCGGTGGAAGTAATTTACTATAATGAATGGTATTTATAACTAATTTTATTAAAATAATTTAGCTAAATCATTGCCATAATTCAAGTATAAATAATGACAAGTACAGTTCGTTATTCATTATATACATGTGATTATTTCTATGCTTATTGTATAATACAATTGCTTTGCAGTTTGCAGAAAAAATGTGTAATAATAGTAACTCATTATAATTCTGTTTCTATTTTTAATCTAATGTTCTATATTATTATGTATACATTGATAGAATATTTCTGTCAAATCATCATTAATCAGGGAAGACCATTTCAGGCGGGATGTGCTTCAGGAATTTATTGGCGACATCTTCCAAGACCATAGAAAGTGCCGTTTCCACGGCCGGCTGGACTTCTTTCAGGATTTCGTTCGTATGCATAGTCACGATGTGGTCTGTGATCATTTCTAAAATTAAAAACATGTTTTTAACAACTAAAGAAAATAAAACCTGTTATAAGTTTAATTTTTAAATACTTATTCATTATATTTACACTGCCTACAGTTTTTCTCTGCACAACCTGTGGTTGACTGGTAGAAAATGCCGTAAGGCGTTAAGTTCGCTATATGTACTTTTACCTTGCACTACCTGTGCACTGAAGTTATATAAATAAATAAATAATATAAAAAATGAAAAGATTAGTCTAAAAATATAATTAATATTTGTATGAAGTTTCATTCCAATCCAAATAAATATCAACAATTATATGCTCTTTTTTATACTACAATGGTGGCAAGTTACGTCCTCCCTGATGACAAACAATTGCCATAACCTACAAACATTTGAAAATATATAGATCTAGATACGCACCCATCTCTGTAGTAGTAGAATGCGCTTCGTCCAACCTCCCATTCAATGCTCCACCACATCGGAGACGCACATCGGCATCCTTGATGACCATACGTTTGTGTACTCTAGCACCTAACGCTACCAAAGCCGCTGTGCACATTGCTATAAAACCAAAATAAATCAGTAAGAGGGTTAACTTGATTTTTATAGTGTTGCATGAGCATGAATTATTACGTTTTAGATTATAATAACAAGAGCTATACTCGTAAACAAAATATGGCGATCATAAACTCAAGCTAATTTGAAATCTTTGCCTGTCTATATTACATGTTTTGAATTTGGAGTTTGGAATTATTTATTATTTTTTTATTCTTGTTACTTTTACCAGGCCAGCATCACTAGAAAATAAATCATTTTCAAATAACACTATATTACTAACGTGTAATTTACCTATAGCTTTCCTTATATGCAAGCCCGCTCAATTAAACCAAAATAATTATTGTGTGAAACTGACGATGTATTAATTACTCTGTGAATCTTGTCACATATACAAAAATTCTGTAGAAACATTGGAATATTGTTTTGTTTTGATGAATGAAACATTATAACTTTTACAAATTGATATTTTAGTAATGTTAAATTAGAAGTCACTCACTAAAATTAGCCGATAACTTTCCAGTAGATTCGACAGGTAACATCTGAAATTTCCCTAGTATAACGTAGTCTGCAGACACATCGAGTTTAGGCAGAGTTATATTCGCGGTTACTTTCATTTCCTCTGGATAAACACTGAAAAATTGATATAAATAAATTATTTCCAGGATAAATAAAAAGTATGTGTCAGTCATACCTATTTCAGTCGTCAATCAGCTTGCTGTATATTCAGTTATAAGGTACAATTAGATAATGAAATTACAGAATAAAAGACATGATATCTTAGTCTTCTGGACCGGCAACATAAGAGTGGTATCACGGACTTAAATTGATAATGTGATGTTGCAATTTCAATTAGATAAAAAACAAATAGATTTACAATAGACATATATAAGATTCAAATATTTAAATTACTGATTTATATGCGATATGCAATCGAAGTGGGAGCGAGGGGTATGCCACCGAAATCTCTCTATAGTCTTCTAAACGATCTTGGCCTGTCTAAAACTGCAGTAACTTCTATATTAGAACGTGTATCTAAAGCATCGTTAGCAGGCTCCTACCACGTCGTCTACCTACGTACGTCCTGGGAACTTCTCGAAGATTCTTTCTCTGCCACACGATGGACCCGACACCCGCACTGCGAGTCCATAGAATGCTAAAAACTTTGATAATGATTATGAATAGTCCTGAGTCTTTCTCATGACAAATTTCAACACAATTTGTTGAAGAAACACAAACATGCTGGCATATGTCATTCAAAGACTGTCTGGTTTCTGACTGGTAGCTTCCAGTTTAGATTTGCGTAACAGAAACACAAACAATCGCTGCTAGTTGCGCCACTACTTCATATAGTCGTTTTGTTTAACTTTCCTTGTCTTGGCAGTACAGTCATCAACAATTCAATAAAAAAAATTATATAGCTTTATATATTTTTTTTACTTTATACAAAGTTAGCTGTATTATCTCTGTCTCACCCATTTCGAAATTTAGGGTATGAAGGCATGCCATCAGTCATCAATATTGGTAACGTATGCATCACAAGATGAAATGTTCGCGGCGCTGTTTATAAGAAGGAATGCAGAATGCTATTTTTAATTTTAAATATTTTTTTAATTATGCGTAAAAAATACATTAAATCAATAAAAAAAAGTATTCGTCACACTACCATGTATATGAGACACACAAATACGCAAAGAAGTTATAGTCTTTGACAATATAACCTAATAATGTTCAAACATCTAATTTAAATTAATTATACTCGAATTTCCCCGTTTACTATTGTAATAAACACTTAAATAATACTTACTCTAATTTATTGAACGAGAAATTCGTTAGACCATGTAACACGACGTCTGAGAGCCACGCATCGTATTTGAAGGCGTTTTTCGGAGGATTGTGCTGACGTAATCTTATGTTGGGCACCTTGAGGGGTTCCAATGGTTGTATGCCAAACGATGGTACACCTTGAGCTAGGAGATGTTTGGCCTGTTCAGCCATGCGTTGGATGCATTGCGCAACATTCGGGTCGCTGTAGTGGCATACCGACGTCACTATCCAAGAATTAAAAAAAAATGACATGTGGTTACACAGATGTAAGACTGTATCTATAGATAATTCATTATAGATTTATTTAGAATATGAAAAACATTAACAAGACTGAATGGATACAGTCTAATTGACATTTCTACAGGATAAATTAATTTTAAATCAAAGAAGAATTTTATGTTCATCATAACTGATTATCTTATATTATTATAATATATTTATTTAGTATAGTTTTCTTAAAGAACTCTAATTATAATTATAATGAATAATAATTATAATGAGATAATAATAAGTATCTATATACGAAAGCTTAATTCGAGAAATAAGAGATGTTTCAGATTTGTTTGATTTTGCACTGACTCGATTAAGTGACTATATATAGTTACGAAAATATAAATACTTCTACATATAGATTTTCATTGTATATATTATTTTTCTGTTATTTGATAAACAACTGTTTAAATTCGTCTTATTTCAAGAATCAAATAGTTCAGAAAATATAATTTAAGACAAATATATGCAAAAGTAACATTGCTTATTTAAATATATGTACTCACTTAAATTATCCGCATTGTTATAATAAGTTCTATTCGTTTCAACACGTCTTCCATACACATTATAGACACAAAATCCCAATATAATAAACTTTAGCGACATCGTTGACTGATCTAGAATAAGTAAACTCGGTCTAAGATTTGAGATGAAAAAATATGCCTTTATAAAAGGTATAGACTAGTATCTAATGCCATATGTAGAGAATTCAACCTCGGTCTATAGAGCTAAGGAGAGGTCACCTAGAAATATTTATAAAGTCATTGCAATGTTCTTCTTTGACTAAACGTTACTTGTAATTTAATTAAAATTAATTTACTTTCATAATATATAAGTAACAGGAAGTCTATGATCATCATTGTCACGCCTCCACCCTATTATTTATATGTTAGTTCTAAGGTATATATAATATGGTTATATAAATAATATTAAGTTACTTTGAGTAAATATACAAATTATTTGTGGTCATCGCAGTATGTCAACTGAAACCTTGCATAACAATGAAATCCATTCATTCATGCTTTCATAATAAAAAATAACTTTAATATGCAATTATTGAACGTAAGTTTATATACTTTCTGTAGTAAACTTTCATTCCTTATGGCCAGGAAATAAAAGCCACACTAAAACACAGCAAACTTCATAGTAAAATATTCATATTCTATAAAGTTGTCTGCTTCGGTACTTTTATTTTATTTAATCAGTCGGCGGCAACCTGGCTCAAATAGGTGGCTTCTTTATCAGCTGTGTGAGATATGACAGTTTAATTAAATTAAAGGGTATTAGTAACCTTAGTCCTCCAGAGTGCACTCATGTGCTACTGCTGATGTCGCACGATGATGTGCAAGGCACTCTTTATGTATGTATATAGGCGACAGTTACTACTTACCACCAGTTGGGCCGTCAGCTTATTTGGCTTAGAAGTAACATTAAAAAACATCATCATATTAAAATAATAACAATAAATAACTCTGGACAATTATTACAGCGCCATCTAGTCCCACTAGGTAAGCAGAGCTTGTATTATGGGCACTAGACAACTGATAATGCATACTTATATCATTTTTTTGTAAATACTTACATAATATACATAGAAAACAACTAGACTGATACAAACAATCATACTTATGAATACAAATGTTTGCACCATGCGAGGATTCCAACCCGCGACTATCGGAGTAAAGCTCTGTGCTAAACCGTTAGACCACCGAGGCCGTATTAACACGATATTAGGACGAAGATTCTCGAAATATGTCTATCTAACTATGGAGTTAATTTATATCAGTACATAGAGACCAATGCTTATCGGGTCGTAAACGAGTTGTTATTATTACATACACGTTCTTACCGTAAGTGCATAAACGTTCATATTTTGTATATACTCTTAGACATTAATTAGTTGCCCAAACGATGTTATTTTACTAATTTTGCTGTGTTTATTTTTTGGTAACTATATATATATACATTTGACACGTTGGAAATGTTTCATTTTAAGTTCATATAATTTGCTACTAGGCTTATTCTTTAATTGTATTAGTAGTACTAAGTAATGTTCAAATTAATTATGGTTTCATGCCTTATTCAATTAGTAAATAAAATAATGTTTTTATGACTCCAATGTCAGATATATAATATAATGCATAAGAAAATTAAATTAATTCATATATTCGCCGCAGAAATGTACAAAACAATTAACTATGTAGATGTCAGGAAAAAAATCGTGTCATGAACGACTTGATCATTAAGTAAACTGTGTACCTACGTGGTGTCAATATTTTAAATATGTATTTAACTATTTCATCACAATGGGAACAGAACTACGTGTGCAGTAATTCTTTCTTTCTTTCTTTTTTTTTACAATTAACACAGCGCCATCTAGTCACAAGCTAAGCAGAGCTTGTGTTATGGGTACTAGACAACTGATATAAATACATGGATACATTTTTTTTAAACAACCATACTCATGAATACAAATGTTTGTACCGTGAGAGGAATCGAACCCACGACCATCGGATAGTAAAGCGGTGTGCTAAACCTGTCAAGTCAAGTAATTGTTCATTGACCTATATAATTAATCCATCCGAAATTACTACTGCCTTTTATGTATGCGCAATAAAGAGTTACTATTATTATTATATTTTCTATTATTTAAAATGTCAGCAATAGCTGATTGTTTGTAGTAAATCATTAATTTTTATATATTAATTCTGTACTGAGTATGATAATAATCAGACTCAGTGGTGGTGAGATGGTCGTGGATTCGATTCCTCTCACGGTATAAAAATATAAAAGAAAATGTCGGGTATATCACAATATATTCCACCAAAAAAAAGTGTAGTTAGGACTTTCTTTATTTTTGTAGTCGATTGAGAATATATCTTATTATCGGATAATTAAAATAATAAGATTCGTGATGGTCTGGGATGGTCATACAAATAAATCATAATTTGCCTGGTTTATGCTGCTTTATATATTTTTTTATTTTCTTTATTCTTTGGACATTATTTTATTTCACAGAGCACTTATTTGTATATATATGAAACTACAAAAGTATTACTACAATTATTACTGCACCTACAATAAATGAAGATGAAAACTATACAATAATGTTATTAGTAACTTAACTACGTACCTACTTAAAACTTTTGTAGAAACACACATCTAATTGATATTTTATATAGTAAGTATATAGTAATACATTTTATTGATGTTAAAACGACTCAGATTCATTTTATGGTTCTTAGTTCACCTTCAGAGTGTAATAATAAAAAAGGATAAGTAATTAAAATATTAAAGTATATATTATAGGATAAATAAAATGTATATTTCGAGACATCATATTATGTCATTTATTCTGTGGTACATGCCTTGATTAGATATTTCTATCGATAAATAATAAATTTAAACAGAGACACGTTTAATATTACACTAAGTTGCATCGTATGTACATGTCACACAGGATAAAAAGTAAAAGAAATCCTACCTGTCTGCGCTCCCCAAAGGGTTTATAAAATAAATACTACATTACTTAAAAATATTCACACTATATAACTTAAAAATACACAGGATTTAATAGCAGTTAGACTGCTCCAAGGCTTGGAGTCCAAGCATAAGCAAGGGAGCATTGTTGATAAATAAGTGACCGTATAAGTAGATGTATATTATAGGCCCAAATATAAGATTTACAATCGATGTTTCAATACAATCATTTAATTATATACAACGATAATAAACAAAACGTTCAAACAAAAAATGAACAAACTATATTATACAACTTAACATATATTTTATATTAATAAAATACTTTATATGTATTTGCTTATTTTTTGATGTTCAACGAAATTGTCTAAATATCAAGATTTTAGGGTCATTTCTAATACCTTTTTTACTAGCTATTTCTATATTTTCAGTATATGCACTTAATTAATAATAAATACACAGATGTGTAGTATATTAAGGAGACTGTAGCATAGCTCTTACATCCCTATTACGATAACAATCAAATGCAAATGTCTATAGTATTGATATAAAGCTTAAAATCCTTTGCCGTGCAACCGGACTTAATTCTAATTTGGACTTATGCTGCTGGCTCATCGTCTATTAACACTTCTTTAATAGGTATAGACCCAAGTATTTTGTTAATGTACTTCTTAGCAATAGCAGCGGTGGTTTCGTCTAAGAGTGGACTGATAACGTCAAGCACGATTCTGGGGCTGGCGTTGAAGAACGTAGCCGTAGATGAACCTGGAACGTTCAGTAATTAAGTGATTATTTAAGAATATGTTCAATAAAAAAAAATCTGATAAGAATTATTTGCTTAGCGTATATATAAAAAGTTTTTGAGGAGACAATTGCAGATTCTACTAATCCTATAATGACAAACATATATAAGGATAAATGTCTGCATATATAGTAAGTACTTTTTTACGCGAAAACTACTTAGGTTGGTCCGTATAAAATTTGGTGAACAAATAGATAATATACTAAATTTTATAGGAGACTTTTCATCCAAATCATTCAGACAATGCCAAGGTTCACGGCTAGTTTACAATAAAGCACTAAAGATTTTTTTATCTAATTGCACTTCATTGTAAGTAGTAACCGAATGTTCATGTATGTAGGCGATACATGAACATTACGGATATCACATTATCATTTCACACTCATGCGTTGCCATTCCCACGGACTAAGATTGCCTCTTATCTCGTAAATTCACTACTTAATTTGTACCCTACAACCGCAACACAGGGTACTAAGCAAGCTGCCTGGCGACTGACATAGGTGAGACTGAGGTACACAGAGACAACATTTTACAGACTTAATTTACTTTTACCTAAGAAAATACTAACAATAACGGATGTGATTCGTAGACAACTGTATTAGTTTACTGCAGTATAATAATGTCGTGCAGCATGAAATTATTTATGTAAACAGTTCAATATCAGATGTAATACGTAGAAACTCACCAACTAGAGGCCTGTCAAAATCTTCAACCGCGACCTGAGCATTATTTATCCTCACTTTAGTAATAACTTTCTCTGCCTGAAGATACTCCACGCCATCCTTCTCAATTAGTTTGGCTGCGCCTTTAGCGATTACTGTTACGCCGGCTGTTGATAGATATAATAAAATTATTTATAAAATTACATAAATAATATATAGCACAGACCTGTCTTTATTTACTCTTTATTGCACTAGAAATGTATTATAAGAAGATAATTTACAGAGTAGGAAGACATAAAAGACTCTCATCGCTTAAGCAGGAAGACAATTTCAGACAGTCTTTGGGTAGAGAAATAAAGACATATACCATATGGAGCATGATTGGGACAGAAAAAAAGGTTAGAATAATATTAGATAAGAATAATATTTATACAACATACATTTTTTATATTGTTGTATGTTATATAACTACAATTTCGTATAAGTTCGTACCAAACCAACATAAGTATTTCTTTTGTAAATATAATACACATATATTATATACGATTTATAAGTATCTGACAAGTTAAAAGTCAATAAAAATTATTTAATAAGGTGGGAATCTAAGAAACACATTTAAAAAAAATTATTACTCCATTTTATATCTTAAAAAAAATTGTTGCATAAAGAATGTATTACTAGTTTAACAGCTAACTATACGATACTATACTATACGAATAACTACATATTTAAGTGTGGATGGATGGATGGATATTTGTTACTTTTCCATGAAAAAACTACTGAATGTATTTTAATGAAACTATACAATATTATAGCTTATACATCAGAAAAACGCGGGTGAAACCGCGGGCACAACTACTAACTAATAAGCTGCCTGTGTCGAAACCCATAAGTACTTAAGTATGTCTGACCATGTAGATTTTAGATTGCAGTATATATGTCGAAAAATAAAGTACTGTAATATATGTATAACGCGCTGATTTAATAAGTAGGTGTGCTTGTGTCGACACTTCGTATGTTTTGATTTCGCTAAACATTTCGTGAGCATATTAATATAGAGCACATACATAATTACATACGTTATACGTGGTATACTATTGTACAAATAAAAAACTAAGCCACCTAACTTGAGTGCTAAATATATTGTCCTTGACAATATTTGTACTATTACTACACTTTAAAACTTTTTTGTTTAAGATCAATAATCATGACAACATACATATATTATATATTATGATACAAAACTAGCGAAGTTACCATTTACTCTTATGCTTACAAAAATTTTGTGAATATCTTTTGTCTTTTTTGGCATTGTCTATGACATTTTTGTAACATCTGCATAAATCCATCGTTTCAATGAATACCATTGGACATGTTTTAATTTGATTTCAACAACATTGATCTGTTTTTCTCTTTTGTAATTGTTAACGTTAACGTTTATCGCACATGAATTTTAAAAAGTAAAGTCGCTCCAAATTCATCTGAAAAATAGTTAACTACATATATTAATTAGACATCGAAAGTTGCTTAAATGATCAAAGTCTATCTTTATTCCTGTAATTACACTTACGATAAGTTCTAAAAGTAGTTCGAGTTAAGAGACCTAGTTCGAGAGATCTCACAAGAACCTCTATTAAGGTTGAATAAAACTACTTACTGAAATTTCCCTGTAGTTTTCCTTTCCCGTTGATATCAAGGGTGAGTAGTCTTGACCCTTGGATGTCGTATTCAGTGATGACCATCAATTTGGGGATTGAGATTTTTACTTCAGCTGCATATTTATTATTTAGATTTATTCTGAAATTATTAGTATATGCAAATTAATATAATTCTACTGTAGTAATCCGAGGGACATTTTGTACAAGATCGTCTGCGTTTGTATGGAGGAAAGACTCTAGAAGTTCCAGGCTGTAAATAAATAAGTAATCCTGGACAATTAACACAGCGCCGTTCAGTCCCACGGTAAGCAGATATTGAGTTATGGGTAATAGACAACTGATATAAATACTTAGATAATTTTTTTGGAAGTATATATATATAATGTACATAGGAAACACCCAGACCGATACAAACATTCGTACTAAATTTTGCCCTTCGAACCCGTGATCATCGGAAGAAAAGCGACGTGTTAAATCGCTAGACCACCGAGGTGAGTGATTTATATTCTGTGTTTACTCGACGTTAATTATTTTCAGGCGGTATTTACCGGTTGTACAGCTCATTTTCAAAAAATAATCTTTCTCGAAGTTAATCTTTTAATCATGTATTGTCAATCCCACAGATAATAAACTACTTTGATAGAAAGGTGACTGTAACAAAGTACAGAGTAAGTGTACAATTTGGTGCGGATGACTCTACCTATAGTATATAAACTTTTACATAATTACATAACAAGTTCGTTGTTGTCTAATTTACACGTCACTGTTCATTATAAAACAAAGAAATTCATTCGGTTCCAAAAAGTGGAAAAATGAAATACCTGAACTAAAATATTTCAAGCTAATGTCAAACATTTGTGGTTTAATAAAAACTATATAACAGTTCGGTGTTTACCAACTCTTCTCATATAAAGTCGATAGCTCAACAAGGCAACGATAGAGAGAAAAAATTGATAGGTGTATAATAAAAAATAAAATAATTGTAAAAAAGTAAAAAATATCCTGTATAAATAAATAAATTATTTTGACTTTGACTTAATTTTAATCAAAAACTTAATTTACGAGTATAATAGGGATAAAAAAATACTTACTTCAACTTTTCGATTTTGAAATTGCTAGCGCCGAATGCTTTTGCTTGCCTTATCGTGGCTTTAATTCTGAGATTAGGAACGTTCCTGTCCAGTTTCAATGTTGGCACTACGAACGGCTCAATGGAAGGGATGTTTACTTCAGGTATGCCGTTTTTCAGTTGGGGCCTCATCGATTCAATCCCATCGAGGATGCATTTGTTTATTTGTGGGTCGTTCCTTTTACATGATGGGAAGTAATCCGCTGTAAATAAATAAAAACGTAATTGTTATTTTAGCTATGTACTTTCTATTCTTCATTTTATTTGAGGGTATAAGTGCGTAATATTACTTTTGTGAGGGAAAACTTTTTTCATTTATCAGTAAAACAATACAGTAATATATTTTAAACAACAAACGATTCAAATTAATAAAAATACACTTACATTTTTTTCACAAGTAAAAAACTAGAAAATTTGTTTGTTTTAGTTGCGAAGAACACTATTACAGTACAATAATCTACTTGAAAAGAAAAATCAAAAGGTATGAAATCAAGAAAAATAAAATAATATATTATATACAATATAAAATATTTACAAAATATTATATAATATAAAATAATATTCGTTCTAGAAGTGTGGATCACTGAGCAAATAACCACTAATATAGATATAGGTTACTATCGAACCAATTCTTAAATAGATCTTGTTTTAATGTATTTAAGTTTAAATTAAAATGGTCTATATCTTTATAACATCATCTTTCTGCAAAGTGGTCTGCGTAGGTCACTAAGTCAAGTCGTACGTAATGTACGTACAGCTGTCACACCTAATTCTGTCGATTATTATTAATAATGTTAAATGTTATTATGGATATTTTTCTCTTTGGCAGTGTCGAAAATAAAAGAAAAGATAAAAACGTTGCTATCTTTACAACTTCATCAAACAAAAGCGACGGCAGTGCATAGGATATTAAGAAATACTTATAAAGCTGAAGGTTGAACACCTGACCATGCCTGATGAATACCTTAGTCTGAGGACACAGCCAGGGTTTCGAACCTCGACTCGGAACAATGTCATTATGATTTCCGTTTGGGGTAACCGGGGTGGTTTGAAGTTGATTAAAAGTCATAGATCACATGTTTTTTTCGCAATAGCGCATAAATAATGATGTAGTTGACCATAAACCAATTATTATGCGCGGTTGTTTCGCCATAATATAATACCACATGACGTTGTCTATGAGCGGAACCACCTTGTCCTTATTGCTTCTCCATATGTATTGAATATAACAATGACTGCTTATTGCAAATGTATAATAGGTAGGTACATATTTATTTGACTTCCCATTTAAGCCAAAAAGGTAACCGTTCTAAATTTGATAAATATAAATAAAAATACTAATCATATCACAGAATATATTATAACATACGTGGCATCTCTAACGCATTGCCATTGGGGGAATGGCATTGTTTACTAACAATGCCATTCCCCCAATATGTGAATTAATTACCATTGCTAGCAATGTACCAAGTCAGGTTGACCACCACGCGATTTCCACTGGAAACTATTGTGATAAATTCCTACTGAATCTGTGATGATGAGCTAACTGACCTGACCTCATTCTCACATTATCATCCTCCACTAGTGCACCGCCAGCATAAACCATTAGCGCAGGCGGGTGCATCAATCCATAATCAACTATTTCCAAAAATGCGTTACCATTCCTGAGAAATACCTTATTTTTACGATTTCCATTATTAATTAAATATAAAACTCCTAATATTTATATTTGCAAACGGAATAGAAAATAAACTGACTATCAACAGCGCTAAAGAAATTCTCTGATACATGTATATAATATATACAGGTATATAAAACACATAATACAGAATATCAGTAAGGATATAAATAGAAGTATAAACGCATTAAAAATTATATAAAATTTATAATTACGTTAATTATATCATAAATTATATAATAAGTTTATTAATTATTATAAATAGCATAATTACTGAGAATAGAGATCTCAATCTTAGAGATGCTGTCCCCAACCCCTCGCTATGCAAAACTTGCTACTTGAAATTTTCTACAATTAAAAATTATACTTTTTGCAACTAATATCAAAATTTCATTAGAATTAGTTATAAAACCTATATATAATCTAATTTATTAATTAATAACAAGATATATTTTCGCGGTACGCGGACTTAAAGGTACTTTATCTTTATATAGAATGTAATAATAGAGTAAACTGAGTAGAGCAGAACATAAATATTTACGACAAAATTTCTAATGAAAGTATTGCTATTGCAAGATATCTGAATAAAGAAAGAACGAATACTTAAAAATAAAATAATAAACAAATAAATCTGGACAATTAAAACAGCGCCATCTAGTCCCACTGTAAGCAGAGCTTGTATTGGTACTAGACTGATATAAATACTTAGACATATTTTTTTCTATAAATACATACATAACATAGGTAGAAAACACCCAGAAAGATACAAACATTTATACTCATGAATACAAATGTTTGCACCGAAGAATCAAACCTGCGGCCATAGGAAATAAAGCGGTGTGCTAAACCGCTAGACCACCATGGCTTTCGGTACCGTCACTTATGTATACTATATCGTTATTTTATTACTTGGACATCTTAGTGAATAGCAACGCATTTCCACGGCCGTCTGCGTGTTACTGTTCATTTTAGGCATATAGGTGACGGTTGCTATTTACCATCAAGTGTGCAGATTCCCTATTCCTTTTAGATAAAATATATAGCTGATTACTCATTTGTTGCTTGCTTCCTTGTATAAAATACATAATATATAATCAGATCACGTAACGACACTACGTATTATAAATAAAACAAAAGATCTCGTATTTATATATGGGATATTATGTAAATTTAAGAGCAGAATATTCGTTAATAATAAAGATGGCCGTTACTATGTACGTAATGGATTATATGTAATCATTACAAATAAAAATCAATTGCCAAATGTAAGTAAGCAGACGACGTCGTAACGGTTGTAACCTATTTGAATAGTTCTTTTTTTTTTGTGATGATCTTATACAAATATTATGAAGAATTTTAGAATAATGTATAAAAAATCGAATAATTTGGGTTAAATGTCTCTATATAAAATTGACAAGCGCCGGTAGTCTAAACGTTGAAAATAGAGCATTTCTTCCTATTATCGCCGATTGGTTTTCAAATAACACAAATATCAGTGGTACTTATGGTACAAGTTCTGCTTAGGTTTTATAATGGAAGGTTGATAATGAAATGTATCCGCCTGCGCTAACGGTTTACGCTGACGAGGCACCAGTGTAGGATGATAAGATGATAATGAGTTCAGGTCAGTTAGCCCATCGTCCCAAGTTCCTCAGGAACTTATCACGATGATTTCCAGGGGGAATAGCATGGAGATTAAACTAACATGGTACATTATTACTAATACATTTATTAGCCCACATCAGTAACAATCCTAGTTTGAATATTCTTATTATTAATTGATTGTTGTTAATTTGACTTGACCTATTGCAATATCAGATTAAGCTAGCGCGGAGCCTGTAGCAAATTAATTCAAGGTTAGTATCGATTCTTAAAAAAACATCATGAAGAAAATTACTTAAAGATTAAATACTATTTTTATTATTAATTATTTGTTGCATTACTTAGAGTGCGCGGGGCCCCTTAGGCTAATCCGGCACTGACCTATTGACGCAATATTCTTTACATTTAATTTGTTACATTATGATACTATAAAGTTAAAATACAGTTTCATTTTTCATTAAGTGTTGTATTCATGCGAAATCGTGGCGAACAGCTAATTTTCAATATAAATTGGTCCTACATACAAGGTGCCTAAAAACTAGATTTCCTTGAACAACTTAGTCTTATTAGTCTTTACGATGACTATCTGACTGTATGCTTAAGCTATAGACAGAACCTTGGGCATAACTTCGAAAGTTGAATTATACCTTAAACTGGCGTTCAAATATGTACCCTCGGTGTATAGGCATTATAAAATGTATATTTTCCTGGACATATACACAGCGCCATAGCGTGTAAATTAAGCAAAACTTGTACAATACCACTATAAATTTTATTTTTTTGTCAATTATTCTTAGCTCGAAAGTTAGAGAGCTTGTGTGAACCGACGGTAGATTTGACTTATCATAAGAGTCTAATAGATCTACCTGAATAAAGTTTGATTATTTTCAAGTTATTAGAACTATTTGTCAAAAGAGGGTACTGAAGGAGGCAAATCCTAATTTCTGAAATGGCTGGACCGATTTTGACGGGACTTTTTTTTGGCAGGTAGCTGATGTAATAAAGAGTAACTTAAGCTACTTTTATTTTTAAAAAATCTTTTATTTTAGAAAAATAAATTTAAATTCCACGCAGATGAAATCGCGGGAACAGCTAGTATAAAATATAGGTCTACAAATCACTTCATGACTAGAACAGTCACATGAATGTTTTTTTTTGTATCGTGCGAGAATCAAACCCGCTATATCTATAATGAGTCAATAAACATTATTGATTGATACATTAACTATAACTTGATACATGAGTGATGACGGAGTAAAATTCGTTGCCTCTCGTGTGGTCCAGAATGAAATCTCAATGAACCCTTAAGTTCCTTAATAGCACTTATAAAAGAAGACTAGGGGGGAAGGAATTGATAGTAACAAGGGCTAGGATGACTAGTGCCTGCTATTCCTGCTTAATTTGCCACGATGAGCTAACTTTAACTAACCTGACCTCATGATCACTGCTCTATTAAGCTGGTAGGCAGAATGATATTCTGCCTACCAGCTTACTAGAGCAGGATGCACCATTGATTATATCCAATAAAAAAATAATAGAACAAAATCCCTATATTAGAAGTAAATAGCTTGCTAGTAATAAGGAATAGACTTAGGTTAAATTAATAAATAAATTAGAATATTTTACCAAAATACTCGCAGATATACCGTGGGATACAATTAATAATACTCGCAATAAAAACAAGACACATTCATCATTTACAGATCAATTACAGATTACGGAAACTTATTAAATCATATTTTGCAAATGGAAATAACCAACGATTATTTACTTGAATTCACTTCACTTGGTTCTCGGCTATTGTATTACTTTTTTGTCTAAATGTGCTTCCGTTTATCAATATATCAACCTTGGAGTGTCTGTTTGTAATACTGAAATAACTGTTTTTTAGTACATGCATATGAATATTAATACGGTACCAAAATAGCATTTTTACAATCTGTCTGTCTGTTTATCCCGGCTAATCTCTGAAATGGCTGGACCGATTTTGACGAGACTTTTTTTGGCAGGTAGCTGATGTAATGAGGAGTAACTTTGGCTACTTTTATTTTAGAAAAATGAAGTTAAATTCATTTATGGACGAACCTACTGACATTTACTTTACGGTACATACATATGCACACGCACTATGTTTTTCATATATTGTATTGTTAACTGACCAATGTAGTAGAGTGTATTTTATTCTAATATATATATTACTATGTTACCTATCTAATTATATTGTGTATATATTTATGTATGCAAAAATATTATGTAGTAGGTACCTCACTTTACGACTATTACGCAAACGGAGCGATGTAAAAGATGAAAGAGCTGGGTACTATGTGTTCTTATCCGTTTATCAAACGGAAATTATAAATATATTACTATAATATAAAATATATTACCGAGTTTTATAGAAACACCTTAATAGTTAAATTCTAATGATAAAAAAATATTAAGTAATTACAAGTAAATTATTAATAAAAGTAATTACAGTTCTTAGGAATGGACTATAACTGCATTAGAGTGACTCCAATTAGAATTACCATGTATTTTGTTATGTCTCTGATACTGCGCGTGCAAGTAGAGCAATTGTTTATAAATTATCATCAGACAAATTCTAGTAACTGACTTATAAATGATGTTTCATAGAAACTTACTTTACTTACGAGTCCTGACAAATTTAAACTAGAACCTCGATATATATCGAATATTCTCTAGGTATAGATTCCAGAATTTACGGTACAACGTACAATTGAAGAATATATGTATATAACATTGATGGCCTCGATGATCTAGTGGTTTAACACTTTCAATGGTCGCAGGTTCAATAACAGTTCATCTCACACGGCACAGAATTTGTATTCATTAATCTGACATTTTCTATATATACAAAAACAAGTTATCGAAATACTTATATCACTTAGCACCCATAACTATGGCTAGCTTAGGGTTAGAAGACGTTGTGGAAATTGTCCAGTGACATCATTATTATATTAATATCCTCAACAATACATAATTTAAGAATATATTTAATAATATATTATAGTTATCATATTATATTTTTTAAGTTTTTTAATTTTAGGTTCGTAGTTGTACAATTAAGTTATGTAAATAGATACTTATTGATTAAAAATGAGCATATTTTGTACAGGAGCAGGAGCAGGAGGAGAATTTAAGAATATAGTCTTTGAAGTCAGTCGTATTAAAATCACCAATTCGTCAGGACTTTATTATCAGTACAGGTACAAACTGTCATTCATAAATCTAAGAGTTCAAGATATACTGTCATTTACTGTCATCAATGTGCAATCCAGTTGCAGTAATTAAATTGCTAATTGGTACTTAATTCAGCAGTTTATTAATTGGTAACAACGTAAAATTTATTCTGTACCTAAGTTTTTAATCTAATCTAAAAGGCGACGACAATTAAACGTAAATACTGTATATATAAATACCCTTAAATTCATTATTACTTACCTACCTACCAAATGAATATTTTATTTTCTTAATTAAATTGTAGGTTTATATTTAACCGGTTAAAAACTCTTTCGACTTAAATAAAAATTGGATCATTTGTTGATATAATAGTAGCAATAAATATACAATCTAATTAAGAACTCTTCATATTGTTTTAGTTAAAATTTAATATTATAATAATGAATAAATATAAAAAAGACAATGTACTCACGAGTAACTTTTCCATAAATGCTCGCAACACAAGCAACCAAAACTAGAAGCACTCTCATTTTTACTAATATTATCTAAATTCTAAATTAGCTTATTAACAATAAATCAGCACTTAATTTGACAGTATCTCGCAACTGAGTCTGAAAGCGAATGTGCTCCGGCGACCGAATTTCTGTTATTTGTATAGCAAGGGAATGGCGCGCCTTCGCTTCGCCGTTGGGTAAGCTGGATGATAAACAAAGAGCCACTAAAAATTAACAATATCCATACCAGAAATGGAAAAACCAGTAATTTACATTTTCATGCCCTGATGACATGATTTTTTACTCCCGTTTCCGGTTACAAATGTCACAAAAAATGAATGTAGAATAACATTATCTTGGAAAATCATTGATTTACCCTACTCAAGGAATAATTTGAAAAAGTCGATATTGTGGCTAAGTAGGTACACACAGTGTCGACTGTTTCAAAGTTTAAGTATTAATTTTTATGGTTTCAAGAAGATTATTATTGTTTTAGACGAAATAGTGATCTGAATCTGACTATTTATCTGTTCCTATTTATTATTGCAATTATTAATAACTATAATAATTAATAATAACATTTAGCCCTAGCTTTTGAAATAGGTAAACTGTGACGTATTAGTCTTGTATTACGGGACTCACATAATAACGTGATATCCTAGGCGCTGTTCCTGTATATAGGAGAGTGCTACGGTTACCACTTTCTATGCGCCGGGTCTGCCATTCCCATATACGTAAAAGTAGAGAAAGAGGATTAATCTATTAGCTAAGGATAATTTTCAACCTTATATAAAATTGTATTCAAAGTATTTTTATGCCAAGACTGTGTCATGACGTAACAACCTGTTCTTAGTAGTCTAACTAGGCAGATATTAAATAAGAGTCTTAAAGAGAACCAAACATAGGAAATCTAGTTAGGTACTCTTACATTTGATCTCATTACTAGTGGCAAGAACTCGTCTTTATACTTTCATTCGATTAATGTGTATGAACTGAAAATATTTATAAATTTTCAATGTTCTTTACAGCTATAATACAGTTTTATATTTGCATGAACATTAATCAATAACTAATTATTCTAAAATTTAAGCCGTTTAATTTCATTATCCTGTCTCATTTAGTCTTCGGTAAATGGATAACAAATGCAACTCTAGCCTGTTCGTAAAAATAAAATTATAGATAAAGAGTGTATGACTGTTTATATTTGACTTAACAGAATACCATAAACTAGAACAGCTTAGAAATGTACAACATATAAGCTTAAAGTCACTCAACATGTTAGATGGAGATATGAACCTATTTAGAACTTAATATATCTCGAATCTGGAGCCTCCATTGCTACTTGAAGTAGCCTAACTATCCATTAAAAAGATTTTTTGGGGATAAAATTAGGTTATTAAATAGTTAATATTTTTTGTTATAATAATAATCCTGTACAATTCACATAACGCCATCTTATCATATGGCAATCAGACTTTGTGTATGGCTACTGAACTGTGAGAAATACTTCAATATTTTTTGTAAATACATAATAAGCACGGAAAACACCCATACTTATACTGCATGTATTATTCTAGGTGTTTTCTATGCTTATGATCATACTCATAAATACAATTGTTTGTATCGTGAAAGAAATCAATCATAAAAAATTTAATCAAATATTTATTAAATCAAATCAAATTAAACAAAAATTATTTATTAATGTAGGACATTTTAGCGGCTTATCAATAAATATCAAAAATCGTCAAAGTTGTTGAATGTGATTAATTTAAATAAAAATAAAATTATGTACACTTTTGGAACCCCTTTCATTCTTTATTATTATACAAAGAGATTTAAAATAATTTAATATATAAACTTAGAATTTGTTTAAATTATTTGTGCTTTGGATTAAAATAACTCGTAGTAGATTTATACATAAGAAACAATTTAGTTAAGTAAAAATATTAACATATAATATTAGGACTCTATATGACGACTGACCGACTGATTACCATTTTTTGTTAACGCAAATAGTTAATCTCAAATGTAAATATATATCCACAAATGAATAGGCATGACCTTTTATCTATGTATGTATTTTACTAGTTAAATTTATGATTTTTCCAAACTGACATATGATTTTGTAATTGACTAAATGAATATGTATAAATTTAAGTCAATATTGTTTATGATTGTTTTGTAGTAATGCAAAACCTTCGGTGCACAAGTTTCGTACGTATGTACTTGACCAAGTTTTTTCAATAAATAACTAATTCAGCACGGAAAATTTAAGCTCGGAATAAATATAAAGAACCTTGGTTGATATTTATAGAATAATAATATGCACTGGACTTCTATGATTATATATATATAAATACAAGGTTATTATCCTCATTCATTCATACGATAGTTATTCAAGTCATGTCAAATTCATTACAATTATAGATATGTATGTACAGAACTCAGAAATACATTATTTGTCATTTTGACAGAGTTGTTTCTGTCATGATACAGGAAGAGTAGAATAGTAATGTCCAGCTGACTAGCAAAACATAAGCCTATTTTTTGTTTAACTATAATTAATGCTCAGTATATATTCTAAAGAATCCGAGCTGACGGTAGATTTGACATATCATAAGAGTCTGTTATAGTAGGTCTATGAATAAAGATATTTTGATTTGATTTGAAAGTTTCAATGCTGTAGGTCTACTCTCGAATCTAAATTCAATATCAATTTCAATCTAATTCTTTTGAAATGCGTTGAAAAGTAAAAAAATCCAATATATTGATTACTAAATAAATTGTATTACAACAAAATTTAGAACTAATGGTTATATTGCTTTGCGTTTTCAATGTCTATCAATCAGGATTGATTCCACGACTATTCCAAACGCAATACTATGTAACATTTTTTTAATGATGAGTGATGATAATCGTTTGGTGCACCCGCCTGTACTAACGGTATATGCTGGTGGGGCACCAGTGGAGGATGAAGAGTTGAATATGGGGTCAGGTCAGTCAGGAATTTAACATGATAGTTTCCAGAGGGAGGTGACAAAGTATGTTGACCTAATATAGTACATTGCTAGCACTGGGGTTATTGATCCATATTCTTAGTAGAATCCTTTTCCCCCTCAAAACAATATATTTTTTTATGATTCTACATACACCCCTCCCCCTTCTGTTCACCCCCCCCCCCCTTCTTATTCTATTCCTGTTTTTGAGAAAAATTTAATAATAATGTGACGCTCAAACTTGACCTAAGTGAATTCACCGCCGCACAAGGCACACATTAGTTTAAAATATCTTGAAAGTAGCATGACATTTCAATCTACAAAGCCTAGCTCGTCTATATAGGTTATGTTACATACGTACAACTCATGTACATATCTATAAATATTTACGTCATATTTTGCATGCTTAATATGAGATCTTTAATTATAAGGTGTTTTAATGTTTGGTATTAAGAAATATTGTTCTATAATTTTAAACATATCAACACCTTCACTTTTAATTGCAGTACGATATAACCATGTATGTGAATTTAAAAAATAAATTAGGAATAAATAATAATACTGATGTTACAATACATTCGTCAATAGGCTGGCCGTATCGTAGGTATGTACTTAAATTTTTATTATCACAAAATGTATATTCATTTTATAATGTATCTAGTATTTTTACATATTATTATGTTATATGGTACTTTATTACATTTCTGAAGAACATATGGATTGCTTTATTGAAAACTAGCTACCCGCCCTGGCTCTACAAGGGTGTACATATATTATACCTACCTATAAAACTACCTCTATAAATACTCTATATATTAAAAAAATCGCTTCAAAATCCGTTGCGTAGTTTAAAAGATTTAAGCATATGTACATAGGGACAGACAACGACAGCGACACTATGTAATGATGAAGATTATAAATAGGCAAAGTTTGTGAGTTTGAATGTTCGGGATTTTCTCTGGTATTACTGATCCGATTTTGACAGTTCTTATAGTGTTGGATAGTTGTTTATTAATTACAAGGAATGTCATAAGCTGTAAATATACTGCTACTACTAATTGGAGTAGAATTGCAATGAAAAATGTTGGAAACACCGGGAAAGTGTGACTCAGGCCAAGAAGACCAAATAGAATTAATATAGTAATTCATAAAATCAAATATAATTCTTAGACTAGTTTACTAACGCCTGATAATTAGAAAATAATAACTGCGTGTCGATTATAAAGGAGTAGAAATCAAAGGATAATCGTTTACGACCTCAAAAATTAATCTATCCAAATAAATTATCGTGTAAGATATATTTTGTTGTAATAGAAACAAAATAACCATCATTCAAAATTTGTGTGGCGAACTACGCCATCACACTGCCATTATAACTTTTATTAAATAAATGAAAAAAGCAACTAGCTCTACTATATGTTTTGAAGAGTAAATTTACAAGGTACGGATGTAATCTTAGTCCACAAGAATTATTATTCAAGAGCATTACGACAGAATCACAATGTTATTAATTTGCCTGGCTTTGTTCACTTGCCTCGGGCTTTAATATATCAAACAATCTGACGACGTACGTTAGCTCTTTTGCCATTTTTTTATGTCATAAGTAGCTGTGCCCGCCATTTCACCCGCGAATTTGTAGCCTGTATGTTATTCAGATGTATAAGCTATATTACTGTAAAGTTTCATCAAAATCCGTTCAGTAGTTTTTGCGTGAAAGAATAACAAACGGATGGATGGATATCCATACTCACAAACTTTCGCGTTTATAATATTATTAATAAGATAAGTTAAAAATATATAAACTCAATTTAATTCTATTTTCCTCCTGCAAGAATAGAGGAAGCATATTATTAGTACCTGAATAAGTACTACCTTCAATTGGCTACCAAGACAAATGCAACCACGTTCCACGAAGTAGATATTACATAAAAATACAGCGTGGTCGGTTGACCCACGTTGCATAATAAATATTATCTCACTATACTAACTGATTTAGTGGCAAATGGTGCAACACCAATAAATACAGAAGTAGGTACTGTTATATTGATTGATCTTATGCGGAATACTGATATTACTAATCTACCGTAACCAATAATCAAAGCTAGACACAATACATATTATGCTTTTGTTTGAGCAGTGATATTTTTTTATTCCAATTTTAAAGGCGCTGGAAATAAAGTGCACATATGGCGGACTTAACCGGGCGGCGACACTTTGCGGGCTTATTTACCAGTCAACCTGAATGGTGCAGAGAAAGATGTATGTTGGCGGTGGACTAAATGAGATATGTCAAAAAAATATATTGGGATAAATATATATAAATATCTATAAAAGTAATACATATATTAAAATATATAAATATACTGATAAATAATATATATGAATAAATACTTAATGATCTGACAATCAAATTATAAGTATAACCTTAAATTGAAAGTAAGAAAGAAAAAACATGGTGTAACAAAACAATAATTATAGAAATATTACAGAAAAATATAAAATAAAGAGGAGGACAATAAAAGACAAGTTACAAATTTGAATAATATTCTTGCAATTTACGTTCGAACTTAATTTTACTCGTAATAATGCACACTGATTGTTACGGAAGGACTGTATTAAGGCTGGTTTAAAATGAGACACGTTCCTAGGTGAGGTAAAATAAGTGTAATCAGCTCGCTAGCAAAAATGTAAAGACAATGAATATGGCATAAGAAAACAAACGGTATATAAAAACAGAACGTCAAATATATATAAAAATCATAAAAACTATCAAAAAGGTTGCCATCGGCAACACTGAGACACCAAATTTGTATAATCTTCCTGAAATCCATTGATTTACTATTTACATTTTTAGGTAATACTTGATTGAAATATCAAATACCTACGTATTTGAGTTACAACTGGGTAATTCGTAAATAGAGAGTCGTAGTCCTTAATTAGAATTTATTCTTTGAAGAATTGATTATACGTATGACTAGTATATTCATGGAGGTAACTCAAAATAATCAAGGAAAACTGTGTTTATCCTAATAATTTGCTATATTATATAGACGTAAAAGTAGACGTTGCAGTTGGAGATTGATCACCAATAAATTAGATCATTTATTACTGAGGTACATGTTACGTTAATTCCGAATTCGATAATAATATAATAATATTTCTGATTACCTCGTCGAGGTTTGTAGATATGAAGATATATTCGAATATATCATGTATTCAATATAATTAAATACAAGACAATTCACTTGACTCAGCGCCATCTAATCCCACGGTAACCAAAGCTTGTGTTATGTGTACTAGACATCTGATATAATACATAGATATTTTTGTTTTTATAAATACATAGATAATACCCAGACCAATACAAACAGTCATCATACTCATAAATATAAATGTTTGCGCCGTGTGAGGAATCGAACCCGCGACCACCGAGGCAGTCAATATAGATAGAATCGCGCAATTCTCTTATTATTTATTTCTGCAATAGCCATTACCTAAACACATTTAGTCAAAGTTTGGTTTTCTTATAAATTCCATTAATAAAGTCAAGATAAAAAATCTTGAGTTGTTAATCAACAAAACATTATGAAATCCGGATTGTTGAAGTTTGCAAAAAGAGTTAGTTAAATCCCCGAACCAGCTGTGTCACCTCCTGTCTATGACTACCAAAAAGTACACAAACACAATATAGATAAGTAATCTTGTAAATGGGGAAGAATAGGATTGTTGTTGACAATATTCTCATAGCAACGATGTAATGCTAGCAACGTGTCTTCTCAAATCAGTCTCCATGCGGAATATAAAACTTATAAGTTTCTACAATTACAAAGCTACGCTATAGTTATGATGGTGAATTCAATGTTTTATAATTTTATTACAGTAACCGAAATCATAAATCTTCTTCAATACTAGGCACTTATTTCTTATCTTTGATTCTAATGGTGTGTTATTTTATAATTAGCATGTGACCTTCTATCACATTCACGTCCACCATTGACACCTGCGTGAAAAACGGTCACCTAAAAATTCACTAATATAGGGAAAATCCGTATCATGTAGCAATAGCCAATCTTTGTATCCACATCCACTTTGTAACCGGATTACGGAATCAGCACTAACAAACATCATTTAAATTATAATTCTCTAAGAAGGAGATGTATACTGTTACATCTAATTACTAGAACTGTTGCGGTGAAGATCACCAAATATTGCAATCAAGAATTGCTGAAAATTTTTCTAATTGTAAAACTCAAAAATGAACCAATTTAGCATCGCTTTTATGCATTCCTTGAAGTTCAAAAAAAATTCAACCACTAAAACACACAAAAATTTAAACTATTGCCCTAAAAAATTTGACTTTTCTTTTTTTACCCTTTTAAGATAACTTTATTTTGTCACTCATGCATCATGAATATGCAATTTATAGAAATAAAGCCATGAAAGTACAATATTAAAAAAGGAGCAATACATGACAATTGAAGTTGGTACTAGGTAATCATATAGCAGAAAGTTGCGATCAATCAAAATCAAAATTAATCAAAATGATTCAGTCATTATTTCAATATTTTCAACACCGATGTTAAATTTCCTGAATTTACGGCTTCGGAAATCACATCTGAAGATGAAGAAATATGCTTGTGCTGGCGACATCTATCGACTACATAATGAACTATTTAATACTATATCATGTATTTAGCATTATGACTACTATATACAATAAGCATGGATCTAACTTTGATTTGCGAGTTTTGCAACTACACTTAACTTACTTAAAAGTATACAAATACTCCACATTTTACAGATGTCGTTAACATGTAATTGTTAATAGATATTTTTCAGTCTTCTGTTTAATTATTTGCAGTTGGCGAGTGTTACTTTTATAGCGAAACGCTTGGTTGAAGATTACTTGTAAACACAGTCAATGTATTTAGTGAAAAAAATATACTGAACTGAAATTCAAAATATTTTTGCGTGTATCTACTATAAAATAACCACATATGCACATTATGTTTTAATCTTACGATATTAAAATACTTATTCTTGAAGTATTGTGATTCCATAAACGAAATAATCAAAACCTCTATATAGCAGATATAATTATAGATGAAAGAAATTAAAATCATTTCAGTTAGTTTTAGCTAGCTTAACTTTGGTCTAGATGGCGCTGTTTGAATTATCCTAAGATTATTATTATTATAATATCCATGGATAATTCACACAGCGCCATCTAGTTCCAAACTAAGCCGAGCTTCTGTTATGAGTACTAGACAACTGATAGATACTTTTTTTTTGTAAATACATACATAATATACATAGGGAACACCCAGATCGATATAAACAATCATACTCATGAATACAAAAGTTTGCCGTGCGAGGAATCGAACCCGGGACCGAGGCGGTGTGCTAAACTGCTAGACCACCGAGGTCAAATTTAGAATGAATAACAATTACCAAAATGATAGGTCATAAAAAACATAGGTCGTAAAAATTATCGACAAAATTACTTCAGCAGAGCGGCAAGCAGGATAAGAATTTTATTTTTGTAATTGGAATTGAAAATAAACAAACTGAAGGCGTATTTAACGGGTATTTAAAGGGTAACCGTCTTCTATGTACATCAACAGCAATGACATCACGTTATCATGTCACACCCGTGATATCACTCATGTGTAGCCATTCTGCAATACTAAGATGTCATACCTCTTATTCTTCAATTTCACTGACTTCTATACTATTACCTGTATCGAAATATAACTTACGCTGCTTACTATTTCAGCAGCTTGTCTGCTAAAATGGGTGAGACTGATGTACCTACGTAGATAATTTTTACAAACCCTACCACTGTACTACGAATGGATAAACTAAATCTATATATGTTATTTGATTACAGTATTGTTTTTCCTAATCTGAATATGTACATCTTAGACAACTGAATTAACAGATAAATAGCGATTTTCAAGTGGGCTTTGGACTCGCTCTCTCTTTCGTCAGAGAGTCTTAGGCTTAGTCTTACGGCTATCAACATTAGAATAGTTCGAAAAAAAAGTTGGTTATGTTTAAATCCAACAAGAATTCAAATTAATGACTGTTGACCATTATCACTTCAGTATATCCACTAGCTGACTCGTCCCGCGAACTTCGCATCACATATATATACCTTTTTAAATTATAGCCTATGAGTAATTCTGAGTATATTATATAGTATAAGTTATACTATATAATATATTACTGCAAAGTTTCATAAAAATCTATTTTATAATTTTTGCGTGAAAGAATAACAAACATCCAACCATACGCACAAACTTTTGCGTTTATAATTTTAGTAAGATATACATATTTTGAATTTAGTAAACCTTTAAAACTTTAAATTTTTAATGCAATGGTATATTTATCACATCTGCCTATATTTATTACATATCTAAAAAATAAAAAAACGTAAGTAGTTTTAATTTATTTCATACTTTTTGGATTCAGAAATGAACATAAAAAAGAATTGTTATTAGATATTTAGGATATACGAATTAGCACGTAATCTGATTAGGTTTATATAAATTAATTAGGTAACTATAAAAGATTTAGATTATACACTTTTCTTATTTCAGACGATAATCGTTTAAACTAAATATCTAATAACTACGACCAATACCGTCACAATGGGTTTTTGACTAATCTATTCCCAAAATTGAGACCATTGTATACTAATTGTTATTCAATTTTAAAATTTCCTAACACCTATATAAAACATAATAAATTTGTAAAGAATGCATCTGTAATATTAAATTGATATTTCTTTGTCAATAATCTCTTTCTCAAGTCTAATCACAATAAAAATAGTTTTTTTTATAATAAACAAAAGCTGAGATAAGTTTTGTGTACTGAATGAAATGGAAACGGAACTAAAAGAGAGCAATTAATTTCTATTCACATAGGCAATAATATATAAATGTTATTAAGTTTTAAAACAATACTATGCAAGAATTGCCTACTTAATAAAACAATATCTACAAATATTATATCGTAATGAAATAATTTTCAATTTCTAACTTATACTCGTATTTATACATTTAAAATTACACCTAAAAATACCTTCACTTACAAATATTAATCAATACTCAACCAATAAAAATATTATCACAACGGATTTCAGATAGGCATTTTACAACGTGATTTTCCAATAACATACTGTATACATAAAATAATGTATAAACAAATCACATACTAGGTAATTTAAAACTAAATTATATTATATCAAGGGAATAGTTGTTTATATGTAAATTTTGATGTTATTTTGTTGGCCATTTCTGTGAAGAGTTCCCCAAGGCTCCGTTCTAGGACCGGACTTATTTCTTGTAAGAATACTTGTGAATTTTCATTTATGACTCTGTTTGTAGCCGGTCCAAGAACTGGATCTCCATCGAAGAGGTTGGTCAGGTAGATTGACGACTGCCCGACACGTAGTTTAACTCTGAAAGGGTCAAATTGGAGGTATTCTTCTTCCCCGCGTTTCTCTTTGTGTCCTCTCATTGTGACATTGCAAGCATAATCCTCTGTAATATAAAATTAATGTTATTGTAAAACCACATACATAATGTCGAATTTAATTAACTATTGCTCTTTAATGCATAATTAAAAATAAACTATACACCTAGGGATTCAATATAATAATAACTTATTTCATTTCATTACTGTTTATATTAATTAAATTTATATAGTTAGATCTGATTAGAATAGAAATAATTCCTATTTATAAACTTAGTAGGTATATAGCATTTTAAAATAGTCATATAGTACTTTTTGTGATTCTACAGCTTTATCGGAAAACAGCAAAGTAGAGTATTGCTCTACCCTATACCCTATTTTATTTCAGCATTACATTAAGATTTTGTGTGAATCCAAACTGCAAATACCAAGATTGAAAATAAATATATTAGTTACTTAAGTAACAAAATAAATCAATCATATAATTATGAGAGATCTAATTAACCGGCAATATAATTTGACCGGATCATAAATAGAGTTTCTCTACATCTGTTCTGTCCAAGGTATGTAATAACCTACTTGATTGTGAAAACATAATCTATGTAATAAGTGATGTAAACTACGATCCAGTATTTATAGCATTGAAGCAGCAATTTTTACCTACTAACATTGACTCACATCGATATCCGTGTAGTAACGGACTAAGAATACGGTATATAACCACTGTTTTTATTCCCAAGATGTTGCAAAAGACAAGAGTGAACGATTAACACAGAGCCATCTAGCACTGTCTAGTAAGCAGAGCTTATGGTATGTGTACTAGATAACTGATATAAATATTTAGATGTTATTTTTAAATACATACATAATATACATAGTATATACCCAAACCGATACAAACAATCAATACAAATGTTTACACCATACGAGGAATAGAAACCGAGACCATCCGCTTTTGCTGGCCATATATATAGAAAAAGAAAGAGATGTCATCGGTAGCGATGAAGATGATGAGTAATCACACTCTAGAATGTAAGTAGTTACGAATAGTGCGGTTTCAAAGGCAATTCCTCCCGCACTAATTTACAGTGTAAACTTGACACCAATGGTATTTCAGGCGTCAAATGGATAGGGTAACGGTTTACCATCAAATGGGCCGTTTGATATAAAACCAAGTACTAAGACAATATTAAGTTTTTACAATGCTGAAGATTTACGCACAATGCAATGCAAATATTAATAATATGCCCGCAAATAAGTGCATAATAATATGCAGAAATAAATTTTGAACATTAAGATTAAAATTACGTATTGCAATTATTAGGAAATATCCTCATTGTTAGGTTAAATGTTTTGAATAATGCCTTATGTACATGTAACATATTTTTAATAAGGCTATTAGTTTTTTTATTATTTTGAAGTCAAGGTCAATAAGTTTCATTACATGCATCGGTACGAAACCTTTTTGGGACATTAAGAAATAAGTAAACCAACAGTCAACCCATTCTTCCACTTTCGTCTTTCGAAATATAAGTATAGCGCCTACTTACAGTTTCTGTTATCACGTAAACCTTATGTTTAGCAATATTCATCCTTACAAAACACACATATTTACAAATTGTATTGAGTTCTTTAATATTGATCATTTATGTTGTATGGCATTAGAATATGAAACAAACGGATGGCATATCTAATTAAAAGTAGCTGTTACTATATACATGAACAGCAGCTCGGACATTACCTAGGCATGTAACAACGGAGTCTGGTGGCATTTATAATGATTAAGATGTCGTGCCTCTGTACCTTGTAATTTCACTGCCACTATAAATAGGTGAGAAAGAAATAAATATATCCGCATATATGTATTTCTTTCTCACCTATTTCTCTCACATAGCTTAGTCTGATAAATGAAATTCTATACCCAGGTAAAAATCTCTATAATATTGTATACTTTTGTTTTTGGAAACAACGAAAGTTTAATTATTATGCCGCTAATTTTAAAATACTATCATTAATAGCAGCGTTGGACGAAATTTTGTACGATTTCCTATTTTACTAGTAACAACTTACATAACACTCATTTTATTGGTAAGTATTTGACCGCAATGTCGACAGTGAATGATGCCACACTCGACGCAACTTCGGAATGCAGAACTACGCACTGCCCCACTCCAAACCCGCTTCGAGGAAACGTCAGTTTGTTGGTATTTTTTATCATTGATTGCCTCAAATATAGCATTTCTGTTATCCCTTTTAATTTAATTAGAATAGAAAATCTTTTATTTTAATAAACTTAAATTTCTACACATTTGAATAGACTGAATCGAAATATTCGAATAGACCTTTTTTTTAATCTACCACTCAATCAGAAAGCTATCTCACAAGAAAAATGAGCAAGAAACTTGCGTGTCGCTCTTTGCAATTATAATTGAGATTAAACGAAACGGGAAATTATTAAGGTTCTCTGAATTAAATAGGAATATAAAATACGCCTTATAAGTACTTACTTACTTTAATGTTTGTATTACTTAATAATAGACAGGAGTAAATATCATTGAAGTATAGAAGTATAGAATTCATCTTCATATAGAAGATGAATCATGGCTAAATATCAAATAAATACTCTACAACAACAATTTTTCTCATAAAATTTTGATTAAAAAAGTGAAAATAATGGATTACAAAATATTACATTTTATTATTGTACTAGTTATTCCGGGAAATGTTATTTTGCCATATAAATTCTTATTTCTGGATAGCCCTTATAACTTAGGGGTATGAAAATAGGATAGGTCCTGTTTTCAAACCAAATATACACCAAAAATTGCATAAAAATCTGTCAAGCCATTTCGGAGGGGTTCTATATATATATATATATATATATATATATATATATATATATATATGCTATAAAAACTGTGAAATAAGAGTTTTATGTATTAATAATAATTAATACATAAAACTCTTTTTGTTATATAACTCTAATGAAGTCTTCATACAAGATACATACACTATAATTATACATTTAATTTACACATTCTTTCTCTCTCTCACACACACACACACACACACATACACACGCTTCTAATTCAGATAGAACTACTGTATTCATAATTCTTACAGTAATTTTTCTATCACTTTTATTTATTGTGAAATTTATATTATTTGATTTCTACTTCTAAAATATCTTTATGCTGTTTGCCACTTTTTCTTTTGCTTTAATGATTGATTTAATCTATCGGATTGTAAGCTGTTGGTTTTCTAATAAATAAATAATAAATTGTATTGTTCTTAGCTACTACGTAGAAAAATTGATAAAAAGTAGCCGTATCAAATATTCTAAAATCTATTGTACAAGAAAGTTTCAGGTATCTCGTAAATAGTATTATTTTGAAAACATGTAGCAGCATATTCATACTAACCATAAACTAACTCTAAAAAGGGTTTTAGTAATGTAATACTAACTGAAAGATCCGGTGATGTTTCCTCTGCCCTGTAACCGCAACAGTAACACTTGTATGTCCATCTTATATTTTCCAGCAAAGTCCAACTGCGGCAACAGCAATTTGAAGTCAAACCGGTTCTTGTCTAAATCAGATCTGAAAATTTATAGAAATCAAATATAAATAAATTATCTGGCCATATGAATATTATAACGTAAATCTAGTCTTATTAATATTATAAATGAAAAGCTTGTTACTCTTTCACACAAAAATTACTGAACGGATTTTGATGAAACTTTCCAGTAATATAGCTCATACATCAGAATAGCACATAGGCTAATAATATCAAGCGGGCAAAGCCGCAGGCATACATAGTATCTATATAAAAATCTCGTGTCATAGTCCTCCGAAACGCCTTAAACAATTTTTATGATTTCTTTTATGTATAGTTGGTTTGATATATCATACCTTTAAACCCCTAAGTGATAAGGGCATTTCTAGAAAGAATTTATACATGTAGGAAGATTTTGTACCAAAGTATATCTTCAATCTCTGCGGCTGAGCTGCTTTGTTTCGGTCATAGAATGAGATATGGTAGTTAAAATTCTGTGTACAGAGTTATAGTAGGTAGGAGAATGACGGTTATTATGGGTGTCACATAATGACGTTCAAGTGTATACTATAGGTGTCGATTGCCACTTACCACAAGGTGAGTTGTATATTTGTTTGCAAATTCTAACTACTATACTCTTTCTAAAAAATCTTACACTATTTATATTTATGATATAGGTGCCTATTTTAAATATGATTATATATAAGTATACACATAATATTTCTCAATCATCAGATTCTAGTTTTTAATTGGAATATGATCTTATATATGCTTACATGCTTACATTACGTGCTTACATTATATATGGATTATCGTAACTATATGATTGAACAATTGTAATAAACATTTTTTTAAACGTTACTACAGTATTTACTATTTTATATAAACCGCCCCATCTGATAGACGCTGAGCGAAGTTCGTTCACATAATCTAAATACATATTATGTACAAGCTGTTCCCGCTACTTCATCCGCGTGGAATTTTACTTTATTTTTCTAAAATAAAAGTAGCCTAAGTTACTTCTTATTACATTACTTTATTACTTCTTATTATAAGAGGGGGATACACTTAGTAGGGGGAAGGGGATTGTTAGTAATGTAGACTCATGACCCTATTACTAGCAATGTATCATATCAGGTTGACCTCCACGCGGTTCCCCTGGAAACCATCGTGATAAAATTTTGGTAAATATATCACGATGGGCTAACTGACCTGACCTCATGTTCATCTTATCAGCCTCCACTGGTGCCACGCCACGCCAGCGTAAACCGTCAGCGCAGGCGGGTGCACCATACCATTATCATCCATAAAAAAATTACACCTAGTATGACACCATTAAAAGAGAAAATATGCAGGTCAAATATCTTCCTATTTTAATAATTTGTTTTAACATCAATTTTAAGACTATGAATAAATTTTACACGTAAAGAAATTTTCATACTGGAAAAAGGAAAACATACTGACAGACTTGATGTTCAGTTGATCTCATTTTCATTATTACTATACCTGTGCAAAGCTTGTTAGCTTGGACGGGCAGTTAGTATATAATAATGATATATGTATACTTACTTGAGTTCCTGTATAATGAAGTTACTGGGTCCTCGCACTTTAACATCATTGACTACTGCTGTTAATTTTGCACCTTGTGGTCCCCTCGCCAATGCAATCTGTCCCAGGCTTAGCGGTTCTATACCTGGGACGTCCAGCTCGGGTATACCCTGCAAATGAATAGTATAACCATTGTTATATTTCCATTCAATGTATAATTATAAAATTCTAATGCTCTCAGTGTCATTTCTATCTAGTAAACAAATAGCAAAAATAATAATTTCAATTTTTTTCAATTTTTTTTTTGCTACTGTTATTTTACTTTAAGTACCTACTCGATAGTACTCAATACTCAAATTGAGTCTAGATTGTTTTTTTATATAGTGCATATATAATCTAAATCTAAAATCTATGGACATGTAATGCGTAGGAATGAGGATAATATTTTAAGGAAGTTGTTACATATGAATGTGGATGGTTATAAGGGCAGAGGAAGGCTGAAAAAGAGATGGATGGACTGTGTGAAAGATGATATGGTAAGAAAGGGAGTAAATAACGAGATGACTATGAACAGGGATGAATGGAAGAGAAAAACATATTACTTATTATTAATAAATGGGATAAGAAAGAAACAGATGATGATGATGATAATCTAAATCTAAAAAATTTTAACGGGATTCACTAACTGTTAAGAATTTATTTTTCCTTAAATTACGTGTAGCAACGTCATTTGTTTATTAAAAAAGCGTAACTTCTATTGTCGATTGACGGCCTAACATGGTCGTGTCTTGTTTCTTTTTAGTAATTCTTACCATTGTTAAGGTATTTATTTTGGTGGTAATTATTTAAATTAATAAATCAAAATATTTATTACAGTATAACAGTGTATAATGAAACTACTGCAAAAAAGGAAGCCTTTTGAGATCAAGTATTCGTAGCTCTGAACTTTAAAAAGATATTCGACCGATTCGGTGATCTAATGGTTTAGCACACCGCTTTATATCCGATGGTCGCGGGTTCGATTCATCACGGCACAAACATTTGTATTCATGAGTATGATTGTTTGTATCGGTCTGGATGTTTTCTATGTAAATTATGTATGTATTTACAAAAAATACTAATGTACATATTGTAAACTATGTAATATTTATATCAGTAGTCTAGTACCCATAACACAACCTCAGCTTAACTTGGGATTAGATGGCGCTGTTTGCATTGTCCTATATTAAAATTATTACTATTTTCTTATATAAAAAAAAAAGATATTATTGGTTATTACTAGATATTTGAGTGTATGCAATAGGCGTTACCGACCACAAGAGCAATTACTGGAGTATAATGAAAATATTTATTGACCCGAGTGTCATGTATGTCATTGTCAAGTCCCTTGCACAACATCGGATAGATATGTTAAGGTTTCTGCGAAAGTCAACACCACTTTTAATATTTGCATAGATTTCTGAGTGAGGTTTTAAGGATGAATTTGTTTTTAGGGTTCCCTAACACAGACACGTATAGGCACGTTTAGATTCACAACAAAAAAATATATACGTAATTGCGATTTGCAATTATGATTATTTCAGTTTCGCTCGCGTTATTTACCTCAATCTACGGCGTCCCTGTACTACTTATTTGTTATTATTTAAATAGGTGTTAAGTTATTCAAGAGTGCTCCTACGAAATATCAGTTTGGAATGTATTCTTAATATTGTTTCCCCAGATTTTCAACTCTATTTTATCCCCTTATGGATTAAATTTAGACAATCTTTCCTTACTCCTCGTCTATGTTTAAATAAACCACACTACCAGATCCGTTGAGAGGTCTGTGAGTCTGGTCTTCTCTTGTATATTACGTTTTTATTATTACTGCAATGTGTGACCAAGTAGCCGACAAATTAGTAACTCATAAAAAAATGTTTCAATTTAGTATCATTTCATCACAATCAATTTTATAACAATATATTGATGGAGAAAATAAAAAAATAACAATTTTAGAAATGCTTGGCGGGCCGTATAGAACTACATGTTTAACAGGCCATCGTTTGTTGCATCCCTGCCTTATAGTATGTGACAAAAAATAGAAGAGCATATCATTTCATTGCAAATAGAAATATGAAAATACATTCATATTTAGCAAAAATAATATGTGCATTATCAGAATTAATACTTGTAAGTAACTTTACCTGTCTTTCGACACTGATTGTTTCTATGTTGCAAAAGTAGGTAGTACCTAGTCAATGAACTAAGAAATATTTCATAGATAAATAACTATGGTCATATAAGTATTGTCATACAGTTCTATAAAATAGAATGTATTTAATCTACAATAAAAGTACAGGTATTAGGAAGGAACTGGCTTCTGTCACACTAACCAGTTCAGAAGCCAGGACTACACAGAAATACTAAAAGGATTGATATTGTCTAGAAAGTGTAACTATTCAATAAATAACATTGTAACGATCCTTCTGAGTTTTAAATAAAGATCATTATTATTTAAATTTATTGAATATTTATGTCTTATACGTATAATTAGTAAAAATCACGGGATCTTACCACGTTTCATAAACTATTGTAGTTTACCCGATATTTCGGCAGTGTTTCAACCGCAGTGTGGTTGAAACACTGCCGAAATATCGGGAACTTAATAAATAAATTATAAAACGTGGTAAGATCCCGTGATTTTTACTAAATATACGTATAAATAATGACCGCGTCAAATTTAAAACGGTATATTTATGTCTTTTATTGTAAAAAGATTGTCTGCTTAAGCACCACAGTATTACTTATTTCAGCCGCCGAGCAAAATTATTTGTAACCTGTCCGATTAGGCCAGGATAAAAATTATGACGTCTTAGTTTTCTGGAATAGGAACGTATGAGTGGTGTCACATAATAGCATGATGTTCGTATATATACCTACCTACATACATATATAAATAATCAGCAACATATGTATATACATATACATATACGACTATTGCCGCTTACTGTCAGGTGGACCAATAGTTAGGGTGCTATTTGAATTACGTAAAAAACGCATATCAAATATTAGTTTTCATACGTATATCAGCAGTCTTTAATTCAATTCCTTTTTAAAACCTTAGCCATAACTTACTAACAATTTCAGTGATTTCGTTATCAATTTAGTATTAAATATTTAAATTAAATTTCCTTATTTCCATTTTTCTACATTTTCGAAAACAACAGTGTAATTGGGAACCTACTTCTTTTTGAAGTCAATTGCGAATATGTATAGCAAGTTTCAATTCAAATAGTATGCAGCACAAACATTCAGATTGTAGCCTCTCTCTCAGACCGGTCGTACATTCACCCTAATTCTGGGTACAAGGACTAAACTTTACACAATCCAGTACCTATGTACTTGACAAGGTACTTCTTCATATTAATGTAATTAATTTAAGCCTCATTAATGTAATTAATTAAAATACTTTCATTTTACAACTAGAAACGAAGGAACTCTCTAGGAACGAAGAGAATTGTTTAATTCCTTTAAACAATTCTCTTCGGTAGGATAGAAATCGATGGTTATAAGGACAGAGGAAGCGGTTAAAGTAGGTAGATTTTAAAAATAATGGACTGTATAAAAAAGCCATACCGTCACGACTGTTAGAATGAATCAGAGAAAATTGTCGATGTCGTTGTGAACGCAACACTTGACATATCCATATTTCGTATCTTTTGATAATGTGAAAGTACCCCTGTCTGTCAGTTTAATTATTGCTTTGATATAAAATAATATCAGTGTTCTGAGAGTCAGTCAAAAGTGTGTGTGTAAGTAAATTAACACACAAAATTATTCTGTTGTCTTCCAGATATGAACTCTCTACCTATTGGATGTAATTCAGGGTAGTAAACCATTATGTCACGACCGCTCTGATGATAATGATGCCATAAGGATATATGTTCAAAAATGTTAATTATGTTAGATACTTTTTTTATCTAATATAATATATATTTTTTTAATTAATAAATAATCGGTACGTATTTAGTAGAAATAAGGCGATACAACAATTTATTATTTCGCAAAACAATAGAAAGTAGTGATAATGTTCAAATAAAAATAACAAATACATATGTACGTGCCTAATATAAATAAATATCAACAAGTCACAACGAATGACTCACATATTCTATCAATGTGTAAAAAAAACTATATAAGACTTGTCGCTCGCCTATTAAAGAATTTACTATTTTGAATATGGGTTGGTGTCACATTGGTTTAATATTATGTTGTGTGTTTCTATTAAAGGTAAGATGAGTTTCTTTTAATTTAGTATATTTTTCTAGTATGATTTATATAATATTTATTTAATTTTACCTTTCACCATCAATAATATTAGACTTTTATGAACTTGCTTCGCCGTGGTATTCGGGATAAAGATAGTTCATAATTTTTATGTTTGCATAATCCTTTTGGAATAAAACAAACACAAGTTCTTATGTGACGTACATATATCTACATTATTATTAGTGACAAGATTCGCCAAATCGTTTAAACCGTTTCTGAGATTGGTAGTTATCCGAGACCGTATAAACGCACCAACAAATAGAAATGTAATATTTATTCAAGTACCATAAACTTAATATAAGCACTTATAGAATACTCATGTTTTTCTATTTTACTACAAGAAGAAATTTTTTATGTATTTTGGAAACGTTCACCAATAACATATATGTCGTATAAAATGCAGACAGTGATCATGCATGCAGTATTTACATTTTTATTACACTTATAGATATTTATGTTTTATATTATTACGCCTAACGAATTGCATTCAATGTAGGAGAAATGTAGCAGTTTCGTTTTGTTAAATGTCTATTGTTTGAATTCTTTATTATTGATTTAATGACCTAGTAATAACAAGATGCCAAAAAGATATGACATGATATAACATTCTTTATTGTTATTATTACTAAATAAATCGTTTTAAAAATTAAATTGCCTGTATATTGAAAAAAATCACAAATTTTCAGTGCAATCTCAGCAAATCTGGAGTTTACGAAAGACAAAAAATTGGTACAGAAATAAAAACTATTTTAGAAGAAAAGAGTAAAATGACAGAACCACCAGTATACCAAGACTTAATTGGAGAAGAATTTAACGTAACCCCTAAAAGAACACGTAGAGATATTAAAAATGACGGGAAAAG